TCTCTCATTCCCTTGACAGCAGGATTAGAAATTTTAAAAAAAGCTGTTTGAGGGTTCAAAGCAGTAGCAGTTGGGGATTTTTTAAGATGGTGGGGTGCTGGACTGCTAGGATCCGATTGACCAATGCAAAGCAAACGCTGTGTTACATCTATGAATTAGATAGAGTGACAGATTACATCAGGCATTTTATGTAACTGAATATAGATATTATTCAGGTGACAGGGCAATTACATAAGGATTATAAATACGAGAGTATCACAGTTCGCGGTTACAAGAGTCTAGTCAAGAATCAAATGGGCATTCTTATATTATTTATATATAACTTATTCAAAATCTATAATGGGTAGGAGGAATTTAATGCTCATTAAACTTTTTATAGCACTTTTTAATAAAGGCAGATGGAATACATGCTGCAGACCCCTCCCATTGCGCGATTCCGGTGTATGGTCTACGTACTAGAAACAAGTTGAACAGAAATCTGTGGGGAATCTACTCCATTTAATAATAGAAGATTGTGACTCCCTACCTCAATATTTACTTTATAATTGGATTACATTAGAAGATCCATGAATGTATGGTTGTAACTATCAGAAAATCAATAAACAGAGCACACACGGATATCCTAATAAAATGCTATGCACTCCTCAGCTTATCCCTGCTCCTGCAGACAAATCAGGAAGTTCAGCCAAATCAAGATATTACATAAAGGCTGGAAAAAAAAAAAAAAAAACCCCACAACAACTTGCCAATGATTTCTTAATCCACAAAGTCAGCACTTTGTTCTTTTCAGCCTAAATTATATCAATGGCATTGGGGGCCATTTTCCTTCATATTGCTATCCATGGCATAGGGGGCCATTTTCCTTCATATTGCTATCCATGGCATGGGGGGCCATTTTCCTTCATATTGCTATCCATGGAATGGGGGGCCATTTTCCTTCATATTGCTATCCATGGCATGGGGGGCCATTTTCCTTCATATTGCTATCCTTGGCATGGGGGGCCATTTTCCTTCATTTTGCTATCCATGGCATGGGGGGCCATTTTCCTTCATATTGCTATCCATGGCATGGGGGGCCATTTTCCTTCATATTGCTATCCATGGCATGGGGGGCCCATTTTCCTTCATATTGCTATCCATGGCATGGGGGATGTGTTCAGTAAAATTGAAGGATACAGGGTTACCCCTAAAAACATGGGGCAATATGTGATAACAGTGATTAATTACTTGGTCAGTTACTGCTACAGGATGTTCCCTCCACACAAGTATTTTTGTGTTTTAGTTACTTTTGAAAGAATATTGGTATGGAGGATACAATTGAGAAATTCTATCCTGTGCCAACATCTCTAACCTTTCAATGCCAAAGAGATATGCAACCACAACAATTGCTACAATATACTCCCCCCAAACAAGTTTCTATGTAAAGCAAGATCGCCCACCCTGTGGGTGTATAGACAAGACTCAGCAGTTGAAGAGTTTTATACAGGGACAATGTGGATGAATTTCATAAGAGCAAACAAATGGCTAGATCATGCACACAAATAATTTTTCAAATAATCACAGTTTAGTAGACATGTCCCCAATGAAAGCATGCATGCAGCATTTATTTTTCCCTATCAGGGGTTTATCTAAAACAGCTTGCAAAACCTACAGATCTTTTCTCTGCAGACATTAAAAACTCTCTCCTTGTTCCCAACACCAGACCTTCTTTTCCTAGTTTTTATCTATTTTTTCTCCAAAATTCTCCTAATTTGCTCTGGGCAATTCCTGCCTCTTGGCTTTAATTCCACTGATCTAAACAACCAGGAAGTAACAGGATCGGTTGTCTGATTAACAGCCAGTGGGTGGAACAAGCTTAATTTATAGAAAAGTCTATTGAAATCTGCACGTTCTGTAAAATAAAACAATAAAGAAAGAAAAAAAAAAAAAAAAAGGAGGAGGACAAGCTTTAGGGGTCCAGAGTGTCCTTTTAATCTACACCCAAATCAAAACGATCTGTCTGTCATTTACCTGCGGAGTCTCCAGACTCAGGTAAATCCTGGATGGATCGATTAATTTGGGCGTAGAAAATCACAAAAACAAGGTTATACACTGAAGTGTGACTTTATGGGAATCTAAAGAAAATATCAGGTTTTAAGCCTCAATAGTTTAAAAAAAAAGGAGGGTTTCCAATTCATCCGGGGCTAATATAGAATGAATCACAATCTTAACATTTCATCCTAGTTTTTGTTAAAACAAATAATAAAATGTGGGTGCTAACCAGTTAGGAAGTAAAATTACATTTTTTTCAGAACACAAACGGATGAGCACCACATTAAAAAAGTTCTGCCATATTTCATGTAACATTTCAATAAAAGAGCCAAGTCGCAGAATGTTTCTCAAATGTTGAAGTTTTGCAAGCTCCATTTTCATTCACCAACATAGTCCTACAGCTTAATTAAAACAAATTGGTTATCCGAGAAAGCCAAAATGTGTTTGATTGGAATGCCTAATAAATAATAAAATAAAATTTCATGACTCTTACCTAATCTCTCTTGAACTTTACTTCACACAACTTCCAGCTCCTCTTTACTGCCGTTCCAGCCACCATTGCATTTTAAACAGAATTCCTTATCTAAACTTTGTGTGCCTATGGGAACACGCTTTGCTCAGGTGCAGTTATTATTCAACAGGTGTTTGAATTTCCACACAAACTCATTCACATGCATTGCTAGACAGCCTTTCCAAGGATTTCTTTTGCAATGTCCATCACTGCTCTACACAGAAATTGGAATGAATGGGAAAAATAGATCACTCAACAGCTGCTGGGTCCAGACATCCAGTGTAAGGATAAACTCAATGACCACCAAACCAATCTGCCTATTTCCGATTTATTTAACTCCATAATGTCCGGGGCTATAGACACATACCTACTATTTATCCTGAATACGAACTGATCGAGTTCTAGAATTATAGAATGTACAGGCAAGGATACTTACTAACCGGGCTATTTACTATTAGCGTCAGGGACACAAACATGTATTCCTGACCCTATAGTGTTAAACTATTTCTGCACCCCAGATCCGCATCCTTGGTTGACATCATTATAATTGATGATCTAGACCAAACACAATGCATTTGATTGGCTGAGATAGGTGGGCTGGGGGTGTTGGAGTCAATCGCCACCCTGGCCAATCAGCACTGACCCAAAAAGCAACTCCAGTGGCCATCTGCAATGTAAAGTGTTTACAAAAAAAGCCTGTGGAGACTGACTATACTCACCAGACTAACTACATTAAAGAGAAACTATAGTGCCAGGAAAAAAAGTTATTTTCGTGGCACTATAGTACATCCCTAGGGCAAGGCCACCTCCGAAGGGGTTTTAAAACCTCTGTCACTTACCCAAGTCCAGTGCTGATGTCCCTCTGCGCTGGCTCGGGCTCAGCCTCTGCTCAAAGGTCGAGCTTGCATTAGTACTTCCCCCAGTACGTCCAATGTCATTTAGGCCAGTGTTCCCTAACTTAGTTCTCATGGACCACCAACTTTCTAGGTTTTGTCAGTATCTCCATTTGAATAAAAAAGAGAAATATATAAATCCTGGACTGTTGATGATCCATGAAGACTGGGTTGGAGAACACTGATTTAGGCGACCAAAAGGTGCATAATGTCCCGTAAGTACCTCTACTGGCTGTTTGGTAGACAGCCACCAGAGGTGGCGTTACCCCACAAAGGTAATTATTGCAGTCTATTAAAAACTGAAATACTTACCACTGCAGGGTTAAGTGACATGGGACACTGCACCCAGACGACTTAAATGAGCTCAAGTGGTCTTGGTGACTATGGTGTCCCTTTAAGGTCAAAATAACTGAACTAGCAACATCTCTAAATTAGCCACTAGACAGTGCTCTGTGTGTCTCTTCCTCTTTCCAGACCCTTTTTGTGTCTCTTTGTCCTCCACGGATCCTCTGTGTGCCTTTTTGTCCTCCCCAGCCCCTCTGTGTGTCTCTCTGTGTCCTCCTCAACCTCTCAATGTTCTTCTTTGACCCCCAGCCCCTTTTTTGTGTCTCTTTGTCCCCAAACCCTTCTGTGTGCCTCTTCCCCTTTAGCACTCTGTGTGCCTCTCCTAACCCAGCCCTCTGTGTGTCCCTCTCATCCCAGTCCTTTGTGTGCCTCTCCTACCTAGCCCTCTGTGTCCTTTCTATACCCAGCCCTCTGTGTGTCTCTCTTACCCCCGCCTTCTGTATGTCACTCTCATCCTAGCCCTCTGTTTGCCTCATACCCCAGCCCTCTGTATGCCTCTCTCATCCTAGCCCTCTGTGTGCCTCTCTTACACCAGCCCTCTGTTTGCCTCTCTCCCCCCTAGACCTCTGTGTGCCTCTCTCCCCCCTAGCCCTCTGTGTGCCTTTTTTCCCCCTAGCCCTCTGTGTGTCTCTCGTACCCCAGCCCTCTGTGTTCCTCTCGTCCCCCAGCCCTCTGTGTTCCTCTCGTCCCCCAGCCCTCTGTGTGCCTCTCTCCCCACTAGCCCTCTATGTGCCTCTCGTCCCCCAGCCCTCTGTGTGCCTCTCTCCCCACTAGCCCCCTGTGTGCCTCTCTTAGCCCAGACCTCTCTGTATCTCTCTCCCCCCCAGACCTCTGTGTTCCCCTCTGTGTGCCTCTATCCCCGCTAGCCCTCTGTGTGCCTCTCTCCCTGCTAGCCCTCTGTTTGCCTGTCCCCCCCAGCCCCCTGTGTGTCTCTCTTACCCCAGCCCTCTCTGTTTCTCTCTCCCCCCTAGACCTCCATGTTCTTCTCTTACCCCACCCTCTGTTTGCCTCTCTCCCTGCTTGCCCTCTGTGTGCCTCTATCCCCGCTAGCCCTCTATTTGCCTCTCTCTCCCCTAGCCCTCTGTTTGCCTCTCTTACCCCAGCCATCTGTGTGCCTCTATCCCCGCTAGCCCTCTGTTTGTCTCTCTCCCCTAGACCCCTGTATGCCTCTTACCCCAGCCCTCTGTGTTCCTCTCTTACCCCGCCCTCTGTTTGCCTCTCTCCCGCTAGCCCTCTGTGTGCCTCTCTCTCATCCCAGCACTCTGTGTTCCTTTCTATTTGTCTCATTAACCCCCCAGCCCCTCCATGTGTATTCAAAAGAACTTTGGATTGGACCTTCGACAGAGGAGGCCATGCCTCCTCTTTGAAGTCACTGGAGGAAGAGAGTTAAGCAGCGTTGAGCTTCCTCACTGGAAACAGGTGAGTAAACCTTTTAATTGCCCAACGGGGGGACACCATCGTATTAGGAATAGAGGTTTGTATTATTAATTCTATAGTGTTTCTTTAAAGGTACACTATAGTCACCCAGACCACTTCAGCTCAATGAAGTGGTTTGGGTGCCAGGTCCCTCAGGTTTTAACCCTTCAGATGCAAACATAGCAGTTTCAGAGAAACTGCTATGTTTTCATTTGGGGTTAAGCCAGCCTCTAGTGGCTGTCTTCCGGACAGCCACTATAGGCGCATCTGCAATGATTGAGGCATATTATGCCTCAATCACGCAGAGCGTCCGTAGGAAAGCATTGAAAAATGATTTCCTACTGACATTTTGAATGAGTGCGCGGCAGTGCCGCGCATGCGCATTCGGCTCCTGTGACGTCGGATGAGGATGCTGACGTCGGCGGGGAAGGAGAGGTAAGGGAACCTGGCGCTGGAATTAGGTGAGCTACTGAAGGGGTTTTAACCCCTTCAGCGCCACGGGAGGGGGACCCTGAGGGTGGGGGCACCCTCAGGGTACTATAGTGTCAGGAAAACCGATTTGTTTTCCTGACACTATAGTGTCCCTTTAAAGGACCACTATAGTGCCAGGAAAACATACTAGTTTTCCTGGCACTATAGTGCCCTGAGGGTGCCCCCACCCTCAGGGTCCCACTCCCGCCGGGCTCTGGGGAGAGGAAAGGGGTTAAACGTACCTTTTTTCCAGCGCCGGGCGGGGAGCTCTCCTCTTCCTCTCCGCCTCCTCTCCTCCTCTTCGGCTCAATGCGCATACGCGGCAGGAGCTGCCCCGCGCATTCAGCCAGTCTCATAGGAAAGCATTCATAATGCTTTCCTATGGACGCTTGCGTCTTCTCACTGTGATTTTCACAGTGAGAAGCACGCAAACGCCTCTAGCGGCTGTCAATGAGACAGCCACTAGAGGCTTTAGAGGCTGGATTAACGCTCAGTGTAAACATAGCAGTTTCTCTGAAACTCCTATGTTTATAAAAAAAAAGGTTAATCCTAGAGGGACCTGGCATTAAGCTGAAGTGGTCTGGGTGCCCAGAGTGGTCCTTTAAGCTAAATGTATAACGGATTTAGAGAAATGTCTCAATTTGACTCTTTTAGCCTAAAATTCAGTGAAATACAAACCAGCTAAACTGGAAAAATAGCTGATTTGGAATTTTTTTCTATTTCCGTTACTTTGACGTAACATTTCCAGTCCTTTTTATCTTTTGTCCACAAATCCCAGATTAGTAAATGAACAACACTAAGAATTTCCATTTGTGTAGGGCACATTATATTTTGAGTATAGTTAAACTGACGGTTTAGAATACGCTGTTATATTATTTAAGATTAGTGACATTCCTCCCAATATTTTAAATGCACAAAGCGGACCACTTTCATTTTAGGGGTATGACCAATGGCGGGCTGATTATAAGATATGTTTGGTGACTTACTAATGTTTGCAACGAAAATGTAATTTAGAACAAGAACAATGTATCTTATTTACACAGACTGATCTCTAAACCCATTTATTGTCGTTTAAAGACACATTACTGGGAGTATTATTGCTGTGGAGCTCTGTTATACACTCAGACACATTACTGGGAGTATTATTACTGTGGAGCTCTGTCATACACTCAGACACATTACTGGGAGTATTATTGCTGTGGAGCTCTGTTATACACTCAGACACATTACTGGGAGTATTATTGCTGTGGAGCTCTGTTATACACTCAGACACATTACTGGGAGTATTATTGCTGTGGAGCTCTGTTATACACTCAGACACATTACTGGGAGTATTATTGCTGTGGAGCTCTGTTATACACTCAGACATATTACTGGGAGTATTATTACTGTGGAGCTCTGTTATACACTCAGACACATTACTGGGAGTATTATTGCTGTGGAGCTCTGTTATACACTCAGACACATTACTGGGAGTATTATTGCTGTGGAGCTCTGTTATACACTCAGACACATTACTGGGAGTATTATTGCTGTGGGCTCTGTTATGCACTCAGACACATTACTGGGAGTATTATTCGCTGTGGAGCTCTGTTATACACTCAGACACATTACTGGGAGTATTATTGCTGTGGAGCTCTGTTATACACTCAGACACATTACTGGGAGTATTATTGCTGTGGAGCTCTGTTATACACTCAGACACATTACTGGGAGTATTATTGCTGTGGAGCTCTGTTATACACTCAGACACATTACTGGGAGTATTATTGCTGTGGAGCTCTGTTATACACTCAGACACATTACTGGGAGTATTATTGCTGTGGAGCTCTGTTATACACTCAGACACATTACTGGGAGTATTATTATGTGGAGCTCTGTTATACACTCAGACACATTACTGGGAGTATTATTGCTGTGGAGCTCTGTTATACACTCAGACACATTACTGGGAGTATTATTGCTGTGGAGCTCTGTTATACGCTCAGACACATTACTGGGAGTATTATTGCTGTGGAGCTCTGTTATACACTCAGACACATTACTGGGAGTATTATTGCTGGGGAAGCTCTGTTATACACTCAGACACATTACTGGGAGTTTTATTGCTGTGGAGCTCTGGTATGCACTCAGACACATTACTGGGAGTATTATTGCTGTGGGGCTCTGTTATACACTCAGACACATTACTGGGAGTATTATTGCTGTGGAGCTCTGTTATACACTCAGACACATTACTGGGAGTATTATTGCTGTGGAGCTCTGTTATACACTCAGACATTACTGGGAGTATTATTGCTGTGGAGCTCTGTTATACACTCAGACACATTACTGGGAATATTATTGCTGTGGAGCTCTGTTATACACTCAGACACATTACTGGGAGTATTATTGCTGTGGAGCTCTGTTATACACTCAGACACATTACTGGGAGTATTATTGCTGTGGAACTCTGTTATACACTCAGTCACATTACTGGGAGTATGATTGCTGTGGGGCTCTGTGATACACTCAGACACATTACTGGGAGTATTATTGTTGTGGGGCTCTGTTATACACTCAGACACATTACTGGGAGTATTATTGCTGTGGAGCTCTGTTATACACTCAGACACATTACTGGGAGTATTATTGCTGTGGAGCTCTGTTATACACTCAGACACATTACTGGGAGTATTATTGCTGTGGAGCTCTGTTATACACTCAGACACATTACTGGGAGTATTATTGCTGTGGAGCTCTGTTATACACTCAGACACATTACTGGGAGTATTATTGCTGTGGAACTGTGTTATACACTCAGACACATTACTGGGAGTATGATTGCTGTGGGGCTCTGTTATACACTCAGACACATTACTGGGAGTATGATTGCTGTGGGGCTCTGTTATACACTCAGACACATTACTGGGAGTATTATTGCTGTGGAGCTCTGTTATACACTCAGACACATTACTGGGAGTATTATTGCTGTGGAGCTCTGTTATACACTCAGACACATTACTGGGAGTATTATTGCTGTGGAGCTACTGTTATACACTCAGACACATTACTGGGAGTATTATTGCTGTGGAGCTCTGTTATACACTCAGACACATTACTGGGAGTGTTATTGCTGTGGAGCTCTGTTATACACTCAGACACATTACTGGGAGTATTTGGGCCTAAAATAGGGACTGTCTGTCCTAAATAGGGAAACTTGGGAGGAATGCAATGATAACTCTAAATTCTCCTAATTCTATGACTGTGTACACGAGTTGTTTTCTACCAGAATGCTATGACACACTGGTGCACATTTTTAGCCATCTCCAAATGTACCACAAACACATCAAAGCTGTAACAGGTTGGATGGAATTATTACAAAGTGTTTTGTTTTTGTTTTTTTAAGAAGAATCAGTATTAAAATTGTGATTCCCACCAGCAAGTAACTAAAACAAATAAGTACATTTTCCTAAAAGTATGCAAGTCTCTTTATTTAGTAAATGAGAGTTTAATAAGCTGCTGTTCAAGGGGTAAAAAAATAAATAAGTTGGTATGTGTTTATGATTTTTCACTCTTTTAATTATGCTTTGGTCCAAAAATAGGCTAGGACGCACCGTTGAACGCTGCTGTACACTTTATTCCATTGTAATGTGTGCTATAATGCTGCTGCTTCTATTTACTGCTGTGACATAAATGTATAATAATGGTTGAAATACTTTAATGCATACATTTTCAGATTGAAAATGTTTAATATGTGCCCCCCTCCGGTGCTATTGAACGCAGATGGTGGCAGAGAGAACTATTCCTACCAGCAGGTGGAGTCGCTGAGTTGTCCAGTGCTGTTCTTGAACTCAGAACAAAATTTCTCAATCTGCAACAGATATTACACAACTGCAAGTGCAACATAGTTACTGATATCCAGAAAGTGAAATATAAAAATGTTTGTCTCTAATCTTATCTCCCGGACCCCGGTGCAGTTTAAAAGGAAGAGCTATATGACGTAAACATATTTAATATGTGCTAATAATCAATAACTGGTGCGAATAATAAAAAAAAAAACTGTGGACCAGGATCATCGTGAATGTAGAGCTTGTATATCATTTTACCTGGGGACCTTTTAAACCTGTGATAGCACATACATGATTACATTTAATTAAAAACAATTAAAGAGACATGGCAGGCAATAATGCAATGTGCATTGTATGGATTTTAATTTTAATACTTGGCGGTGTTTTCGAAAACTCAATTTTGGGAGGTTTACATAGAAGTCTTGAGAATCATCTTGTTTGTTTAGAGCAGGCTTCCCCAAACTCAGGCCCTCCAGATGTTGGTGAACTACAACTTATGATTCTGATTCTCAGCCTATGTATTTCATTCATAGAATCATGGGAGTTGTAGTTCAGCAACATCTGGAGGGCCGGAGTTTGGGGAAGCCTGGTTTAGAGTAACCATTTATATTTTAGGACTTGCTTTAAAACAGTCTTTTGGAAAAGAACATACTATCTGGCTATGCATCTCGTTTGCAGCAGGTCATAACAGCAAAAAGGTGCTCTACTAAGTACTGAAGACGGGTGCCATGAAGGGGGTGAATATTTTTTAAACTGGAGAAGTCATTATAAATTGCAATTTCAGTTATATTTTGGGGAAACCATTTGAAGCATTCGTTGTGTTGAACTATTTCAATTGCTTTTGTTTGATTCATTCATTGCAAACAGCTGAAAGTCTGTGAATTAACAATAAACCTGCTTTTCAATGGGGGTTGAATCATTTTGAGCGCAACTGTATAGCAGGGTTATTTAAGTAAACGGGCGTGAAAAAGAAAGTCAGATTTCAACTGAAGTAAGATTTCTTTATTCATGGCGTGGCTGAAACAAAAAAGTAGAATGCACTAACAAACCTGTAGACCAGCGTTTGGCAACCTTCGGCACTCCAGATATTGGGGACTACATCTCCCATGATGCATTGTCAGCATTATGGCTGTAAGGGCATTATGAGAGATGTAGTCCAGAATATTGGAGTGCTGAAATTTGCCGACCCTTGACTGTGACGAACTGAAATTCAAATAATAATTAAAATAGTCAAGCTATCACTTATAGCCAAGTTGGAGAATGTTTCCAAATCAGCACCTTTTCTTTAAATCCTTTTCAATTTGCCCCAACTCATAGTTTATTGAATAATCATTAGGGTTATTAACCACTCCTGTGCTGGCTCTTATCAATAGAAAACAAATTCTTTCCTTTTACTGGAAATCAAATATCGCACATGTTATAACCCATTTGTGTATTGTTTTGTAATGCACACATATAAATAAATAGTTATTTTTGGTGCATCTACTGGCTTACCCAGTCTCTCTGGTGGTGGCCATCTCGAAATCCCCTTTGGTAAGAAGCACCGCTTCCCTGCCCATGCACAGTATGTGGCTGTAAGTGGCTCTAAGGACATGTTCAACATGCCAGACTCTTGTGATGATAGGATTCATGAACATGGACCCGTGTGATATGTTGTAGGATACAGGATTGCTCTTTTGGACAGGTACTGGAGCACAACATGATGTGGCTCCTGGTCATTTGCCGGGATCTGAAAAAATAAAATTGATCGTGATGTTCCCACAAAGGAAAAGCTACAATTAAGTGATACCTTTCCATTTTCTATCCCAGGGCCAACGTACGGGCAGCATGGCACCTAAAGGAGAGATCCTTAAGCAGAGGAGTCTTTGCACGAAACTCCAAATATAATTTGGCACATTCTGAACATATGGCAATAGATTGTTCCCCACGGAGTACAATGCATGGACAAATTACAGAACTTACAGATATTGCGATTTGTTAAATGTTGAGACAATGTTACCGAGTTAAACCGCCCAACTTATCCTAGAGGTTTATTATCATTTCCTCATTCTGTAGTGTTTAAGTGATTATATATCTTGATATATTAAGGGCAATTAGATCTTCTTATCCTTTTAGGCTCATACTCTCTCGGATTTCATCATCAATGAGTTCAATTAAGTACCATAACCACTGCATCTTGGTGTAGTGTGTGTATTGCCAAGCATCTAAGCCAAGGTTCCCTTAGTTTGGTTTCATTGAGCTTGACAAACACCTTCTCACCTTCAGAGATCCCCCCACAACATTTACACTTTTGCATTATCAATATCAATTTCATCTAAGCTGGATGACTATGGCAGACTGAGGGCAAACACATAAACATTTTATACTGCCACATTAGCAGGTTGATTGGAGATGGCAGATGTCTTTAGAAGGGAGAGTCAATGATTTTGTCAACCCAGTCCTAGTTGGACAAAATCCAGGGGCCGGTGCCAGTAGACTCTTACCAGAATAACTGTTACATTAAGTTGTAGTGGTTACATTGCTTAGAGTACCCCTGGAATGGGTAATACAGACACTGCCATTCCTTCTCCGACTTGTTTATTTCATTCCGGCCTCTGTTGTATTTGTTGTTGTTTTTTTTCCCCACACTTCTATGAAAAATTAAAGTACATTTATACTGCACAAACTAGATTGTTCCACTAATTAAGACCACACTTTTAGAAACAACGGCACCTGCCTCCTAACGGTTCCTGCTCACACAGTCAGTTTGATATCACTATTATCCCCCTCAAAATGATCCAAAAAATTGCTTTGTTGGTGTGGGTTTTTTTTTTTATTTATTTTTTTTTTTTTTTTAAAGCCAGTGCCTCCTGGCACCCACCATATAGTCACTAATTTTTATGTACACATTATTGCTATAAAATAAACATATTCTGTATTAATTAAAAAGAAGAAAACCGAAGATGAACAAAAACACAGCTCTGTTATTCTTAATTAATTGCGAAAAAAGCAATTAAAGCAGTTTCCTCCGGAGCAGCTCTGTGAACCGATAGGTTGTGTCTGCAGAAGCAGGTTTTGATATACTTTCATCAAGAAATCAAACATTCTAAGAGCTAAACTGCAGATTAATCCCAGCAGGACCTTCAGGGAAGCATCACAGGGGGGTGAGGGGAAAAGGAGGGTTAGGAGCATTTAAATAAAAAAACAAAAAAACTTGTCAAGGATACAGATCATTAGATTTCAATGCGTAACACATTAAAAAAATAGCAATATTCCAAAATAAAAATGAAAAGGGAAAAAAAAGTGACGTTTCAAATCCCCAGCAGTAAAGTGATGATGCCTTTGCATTTGTTCTGGTGAGTAGAATCATTTCCTTCAGACTTTTTGCTGTAAACACTGTCTTTTCAGAGAAAATGCTGTGTTTACATTACAGCCTAGTGATAACATCACTGGTCACTCCTCAGATGTCTGCTAGAGGTGCTTCCTGGGGCAGTCCTGCCTAGTGTGCATCACAACATTCATTTTCTCCACCCTCTGCATGCAGACACTGAACTTTCCTCATAGAGATGCATTGATTCAATGTATCTCTGTGGTGATGCTGATTTGTCAGGGTGGCGTTTGACTTGTGCTGGCTCTGCCCCTGATCTGCCTCCTTGACAGTCTCAGCCAATCCTATGGGGAAGCATTGAGATTGGTTCAGACCACCACTTCTAATGATGTCAGCAGACAGCAAGCAGGTCAGAGGCAGACAGAGGCAGCAGCTGCAAACTTGAATACAAGTAAGATTTCACTATTAGGGAGGCAAGAGAGGTAAAGGGGGCTAGATGGTGGTTTTAACACTATAGTGTCAGGAATACAAGTTTGTGTTTTCCTTTAAGGCTAATACAGCTAAATAGCATATCTAAGTGAAATCTAAAATTCGCATCATACCTAAATTGTGTCCCTTAATTATCCACCAAGTTTGCAAGCCTTTAAAACAACCTCATAGTATCACAGGGTAGAATTACAGCTAAAATTTACCAGATTTACCTGACACGCAGTCCATTGATAGTTATTCATCAAAGTGTGATATGTTGGGAATTCAAAGTGAATATAATATTTTGGACCAAAATAGCTGGATTCATGTACTTTAATTACTTTAAAGAATTTGCATACTTGATATAATGTAGACTAACCATATTATCTAAGTTAGCAGATTCCGATCAAATTATTAATATTTTTAAAATTCACTTTGAATTTCACATAATTCACAATTTAGTGAAAATTCTAGTGCGTGAGGTTGTACTACAAATCTCACCATCCTCAGGCAGTATTAACCTACAGAAAAGATGCTTGTTCGAGCAGTGTAGGAAACCTTGGTTTGTTATTTTAAAGAAGAACGATGGTGAATATTAAAGGACCACTGTAGTTGCAGTGATTCTGTCAGTTTATCCCTGCAATGTAAAACATTGCAAATTGCAGTCTCTAAAAAAACAAAAACAAACAAACCAATGTTTACATTGCAGGGTAAATCCACCTCTATTGATCGTCTTCCTGACAGCCACTAGAGGTGCTTCCATCGCACTGACAGAGTCAAAGTCAGTCACATGACATTCAAAGTTCTAGGAAAGCCCAAAATTAAATACTTTCCTCTGAAACTTCGGATGCATGCACAGTGCTTGAGGCGCATGCACATCAGGTCGCCAATGCTTCTCTAAGAGGAGCATTGGATTGGACACCAGAGGAGATCATACATTCTCAATGATGTCACAGAAGGCAAAAAGGCAAGCAGCACAGAGGGAGTCTCAGCACTGGAAAAAGGGAATAAAATGCTTTTATTTTGTTACATTTATAGGAAAGATAGGATAGGGGCACTATAATGTTAGTAATACAGGTTCCCATAACATATTCTGCCCTGTAAGGCTATAATGGTTATAGCTATGTGCTTTCAAATATATTAAAGGGACACTATAGTCACCAGAATAACTACAGCTTAAAGGACCACTATAGTGCCAGGAAAACATACTCATTTTCCTGGCACTATAGTGCCCTGAGGGTGCCCCCACCCTCAGGGTCCCCCTCCCGCCGGGCTCTAGGGTGAGGAAGGGGTTAAACTTACCTCTTTCTCCAGCGCCGGGCGGGAACTCTCTTCCTCCTCCTCGGATTAATGCGCATGCACAGCAAGAGCCGCGCTCGCATTCAGCCAGTCTCATAGGAAAGCATTATCAATGCTTTCCTATGGACGCTGGCGTCTTCTCACTCTGATTTTCACATTGAGACGCACGCAAGCGCCTCTAGCGGCTGCCAATAGCAGCTTCTCTGAAACTGCTATGGTTATAGAAAAAAGGGTTAACCCTAGCTGGACCTGGCACCCAGACCACCTCATTAAGCTGAAGTGGTCTGGGTGCCTATAGTGGTCCTTTAATGTATTTGTTCTGGTTAATATAATCATTCCCTTCAGTTTTTTGTGTGTAAACATTGTGTTTGTGAAAATGCAGTGTTTACATTACAGTCTCCACTGGCCACTCCTCAGATGGCTGCTAGATGTGTTTCCTGGGGCAGTGCTGCACAGTGTGACTGACATTTAGTGTCTCCACCCTCTGCATGCAAATACTGAACTTTTCTCAGAGATTCATTGATTCAATGCATCTCTACGAGGAGATGCTGATTGGCCAGGGTTGTGTTTGCCTTTTACTGTCTCTGCCCCTGATCTGCCTCCTTTAACAGTCTCAGCACATCCTATGGGAATGCATTGTGATTGGCTGAGATCACTTCTGATGATGATGTCAGCCAAGCAGGCAGATCAGGCGCAGAGCCAGCAGCAGCAGACTACAATAAAAGTAATATTTTACTATATTTAGGGAGGCAGGGATGAGGCCGGGGGGGAGGGGGGTAGATGGTGTTTTTAACACTATAGGGTCAGGAATACATATGTGTTCCTTACTCTATAGTGTTCATTTAAAGGCAGACTATAGCCAGCTCGTTGAAGTGGTCTTGGTGCAGTGTACCAGGTCCCTTAACCCTGGAAAGCTAGTTATTGCAGCTTTTTATAAACCCTATATAGTGTTCCATTATGGTTTTAGGAATCGATTAAACTCTGCTTAGGGCTCTTCACTAAACGAAGATATGAACAGAACCAACAAAGAATTGTACATTTTAGGCCAGACTATTGAAGTCCTGCAACGTACAATTTGGTATATCCTTTTAAGTTCCCACATTTTTTTGTGTAATAGATAAACCCCTAATGTATTTCCTGAGTGCTCTACAGACAGCAGTTGGTCGGTCTAACTGTTTGGATCAGTGGCAGCAGCCTGATTCGCACTGCTTACAGGAGCTCACTTTCCCCGGTTCACCCACAATAGAGAGGATGGAGAGGGAAATAAAAAAAAAAAAACGAAGACAAACCGTAATTTCTGTTTCTTGTGTGAAAACATATACAAAATATGATGTTTTCAGGTTAATTGTAACAAACACAGTGTTCCTGTAAAATAACATATGAAAACAATTTTACAAAAACAGACAGACATAGATAATTGGCTCATTAACTCACAATTAACTCAAACCAGTGAGATGCGTTCTAGGGTCATTTTACCTCTAGATACTGCTTTTTGAGTTAAAACTGGTCCAGATATCATGAAATAAAAAGCAAAGACAGTTCAACTGTTCAGTTTTTATCCCAGTAAATTGGTCCATAATTTTCAGCTTGTTTAAAATGCCAAATTTTTCAGGAATTGAAAGTATATTGAGAAAGTTTATATACACTTTAAGATTTACACATTTTCCACCTCTGTAAAGACACAAGTAAACAAGAGACAATTCTAAGGCTTCGCTAGGGATGTCCATCATCGTAGTAGATTCTTACAAAGTTTTAAGGCACATAATCAAAACGGGTTTAGAGTACATTGTCCATCATCCGCAGGACTTCGGTAGTCACCAAAAAACATTCACTTCGGACATTCCAAGTCTCCTATTCCCAGGGAAGGAACATGACCACCACGGGTTTTTTTTAGACTTTTTTTGGAATAAATAAATAAATATAGTTCTCCTTTTTCCCGCTGTTGCTGGATGCACTTGTGAATCGAGGACTAGGCACGGATTTTGGTTCTTGGTTGAAATTTAGGAATTCACATTGATTGGAAGGGCTCTTGAAAGATTCCAATTTCGCATTAATTGTTCAACATGATATCGGAGTATTGTCCACCAAGTGGTAAAATTAGCGCCGATCAATAGGTCAGTGGCAGATTCTCTCTGTCATTTCCTTCTAAAAATTAAGAAAGACCAAAGTCAATAAATACATTTAAAAAAAATTGAAAATAAAAAGAGTCTGTAGATTTTTTTTTAATTCTTCACTCAAGTTTCAGCAGGTTTGTTTGTCTAATAAATCACACGCATGCACACACCCACGTCTTCCTACCTAGTAATAAAACCATTTCCGGACTTATTCTACCTGTTTTATTCAGGACAACTTTATGTACATTCTATGAATTATTAGTTCCAGTATAAGACTTTACGTCACCCACTACAAGGCTATTGATGTCGGGGATACCTTCTACGCTTTGTTGTAAGAGCAATATTTATTCAGGTTTCTGCATTCTCTATATAAATATTCCACACCCAATCTCTAGTAATTCTCGCTTTCATGAAAACACTGCTTTCAACATCATGTCAATGGTTCTAGCAAGCCTATCAGACCCCCCTCCCCCACCCCATTGCATGTTCTCTTCTGTAAGAACATGTCATATTTAGGGAAACATATAGGGGAGAATATAAACATATCTGATGCACAGAGTGCAACATGACCTTTTCTTTAATCATGGAATCCTCAACCACTTCTTACGCGTTCTCACAAAATTACACATAGGCATGCCTGGATAAGATTTTAACAGAAACAGATGTTTTTTATAGAAGTATTAATAGTGCAGAACATGCTGAAAGCTGCCATAGGTGGGGTAAACTATGTATCCGTTTGTACCTCTTGTTTTTTTAGTGGCATGCCTTATCCTGTATATAAGTAAAGAGGTTATGTCGATTTGCTTAGAATACTAAACTAGGACATTTAAGATATTTTTTTCTGCTTCTGTTTCCTCTAAAGCTGTACATGTGACATTGTGGCTCTGAGCGTTAGGGATTTAGTTAATGACAAGGACATTACGTGCATTTATCACATGTGTATTTCTGTGTCTAAATAAACACTTTCACGCATATGAAAGTATTAATCATCCTGTGACTTTGGTTGTTATTGATAGGAGCTTAATGATGTAATCCTTCCAGGGAGCCCTGTAGATACATGTGTGAGTTATGCAGCGTTATCGCATGATCTATGATAAACAAGCCAATAGCAGAATGGACACTGGATGGTGCCTGCGTGTGCTTGCCAAAGTATGTTTTCCAAGAATAGCTGCTTGCAAGCAACCCATATGGATCCAGATCTGCAACATTGTAAAAATGCACTTAGCATTTCTAGATAAACACAATGGGAGGAAAGTACAGCAGCACAAGGAAAATAAATAAATGAACAAAAATTAAAATTGATAATGCCACAATTATTATTATTTATATAGTGCCAGCAAAATATGTAGTGCTGTACAACGGGTGGACTAACAGGCATTTAATCGTAACCAGACAACTGGACCTACAGGAACAGAGGAGTTGAGGGCACTGCTCAGTGAGCTTACATGTTAGAGGGAGTGGGGTATAGGGACACAGTAACAGAGGGATTGAGGGCCTGCTCAGTTAGTTTACATACTAGAGGAAGTGGGGTATAGTGACACAGTAACAGAGGGATTGAGGGCCCTGCTCAGTGAGTTTACATGTTAGAGGGAGTGGGGTATAGTGACACAGTAACAGAGGGATTGAGGGCAGGCCCGGACTGGCCATCGGGCACACCGGGCAAATGCCCGGTGGGCCGCGGTGGCCGTGGGGCCGAGGCCGGCAGGGAGGTCCCAGGATCTCCCCTGCCGGTCTATGCAGGGCCGGCACTCTCCTAGCGCCGGCCCCGCTGTTTGCCACGACGGGCCGGTGGGGAGATCAAAGATCTCCCTGACCGGCCCACATGCGGCCGCCGGCGGGGAGAGAGGGGAGGGAGGGAGGGAGGGAGCCAGCCAGGCTGGAGAGAGGACCCGGCGGAGCTCTAATTTGCGGCTCCGCCGGGATCCTCTCGCGAGATCCGACGCGTTGCCATGGCAACGACCGGATCTCGCGAGGAGTTCACTCACCCACGAGGACCACCAGGGAACACTGCCTCCCCGCCTCCAGTCCCAGCGTGCCGGTCCCCCCCTCCCAGGCTAAAGGTAAGAAGGGAGGGGGGGAATAATACCTGTTTTTTTTTTATTATTTACCCCCCCTACATACACACAATAACATTTATACAGCACTCTCACACCCATCACACACAGCACTCTCTCTCACACAGCACTCTCACACCCATCACACACAGCACTCTCACACCCATCACACACAGCACTCTCACACACAGCACTCTCACACCCATCACACACAGCACCTCACACACAGCACTCCCACACACAGCACTCTCACACCCATCACACTCACAGCACTCTCACAGAGCACTCACACACACACAACACTCTCACACCCATCACACACAGCACTCTCACACCCATCACACACAGCATTCTCTCACAGCACTCTCACACCCATCACTCTCACAGAGCACTCACACACACACAGCAATCTCACACCCATCTCACATACCCATCTCACACAGCACACTCACACCCATCACTCACACACAGCATTCTCACACCCATCACTCACACACGGCATTCTCCCATCCATCACTCACACACAGCATTCTCACACCCTTCACTCACACACGGCACTCTCACACCCATCACTCACACACGGCACTCTCACACCCATCACACACACATACTGCACCCCTCACATACACACAGAACCCCCCAACACACTGCACCACAAACATACACAATACTTCCAAATATATATATATATATATATATATATATATATATATGTATACACGCACACACTACACTCTTAAAGGACCACTCTAGCCACCCAGACCACTTCAGCTTAATGAAGTGGTCTTGGTGCCAGGTCCTTCTAGGTTTAACCCATTGTTTTATAAACATAGCAGTTTCAGAGAAACTGCTATGTTTATCAATGGGTTAAGCCTTCCCCCAAAGCCTCTAGCAGCTGTTCATTGACAGCCGCTAGTGGTGCTTGCGTGCTTTTCACTGTGAAAATCACAGTGAGAGCACGCAAGCGTCCATAGGAAAGCATTATAAATGCTTTCCTATACGACCGGGTGAATGCGCGCGCAGCTCTTGCCGCGCGTGCGCATTCAGCCGACGGGGCGGATCGGAGGAGGAGAGCTCCCCGCCCGGCGCTGGAAAAAGGTAAGTTTTAACCCCTTTCCAGAGCCGGGCGGGAGGGGGTCCCTGAGGGTGGGGGCACCCTCAGGGCACTATAGTGCCAGGAAAATGAGTATGTTTTCCTGGTACTATAGTGGTCCTTTAACATACACACTCTGGATCCCCTATACACACACTAGATTCCTTGTAAGCAAACACATTCTACACCCCTAAACACACACACACTATAGCCTGTATGCACACACTTGCTATATCCCCAATACACACATTCTCTACAGCCCATAGCCACATATGCATTACATTACACCACAAACACAACACGACTAAAACCGACCTTATTACACAATACCACACCACGACCAGCTCACTCTGCACACACGCAATACCCCAAGCAGGCTCCAAAACACATGCACAATACTCTTTCCTGACCCATTTGTCTCCTGGTATCCATTTATAGAGACACCAGAGACAAGTTGCAAGGAAACACAGTGCAAGCATGTTATTAAATTTGCTTGCACTGTGCAAAACAAATACAGGACTTTTTTCTCATGCTAGAGCTCTTCAGCAGAGCTCTGCGTATGGTCTGCCCTGGAAGAGCATTGAACCAACATGCTCACTTTGAGAGGAGGCGTGTCTGTCATTGGTGACAAAACACACCTCCTCTGCCCCGCCCCCTTTTTAGTGGGCCGCTGTGTTAAAAAAATGCCCGGGCCGAATTTTTCTCCCAGTCCGGCCCTGATTGAGGGTCCTGCTCAGTGAGTTTACATGTTAGAGGGAGTGGGGTATAGTGACACAGTAACAGAGGGATTGAGGGTCCTGCTCAGTGAGGTTACATGCTAGAGGGAGTGGGGTATAGTGACACAGTAACAGAGGGATTGAGGGCCTGCTCAGTGAGTTTACATGTTAGAGGGAGGGGGTATAGTGACAGTAATAGAGGGGTTGAGGGCCTGCTCAGTGAGTTTACATGTTAGAGGGAGTGGGGTATAGTGACACAGTAACAGAGGGACTGAGGGTCCTGCTCAGTGAGTTTACATGTTAGAGGGAGTGGGGTATAGTGACACAGTAACAGAGGGATTGAGGGCCTGCTCAGTGAGTTTACATGTTAGAGGGAGTGGGGTATAGTGACACAGTAACAGAGGGATTGAGGGGCTGCTCCAGTGAGCCTTTTACAAGGTTAGAGGGAGTGGGGTATAGTGGACAAGTAACAGAGGGATTGAGGGCCTGCCTAGTGAGTTTACAGGTTAGAAGGAGGTATAGGGACACAGTAACAGAGGGATTGAGGGCCCTGGGCCAGTTTACATAGAGGGAGGTGACACAGTAACAGAGGGATTGAGGGTCCTGCTCAGTGAGTTTACATGTTAGGAGGGAGGGGTATAGTGACACAGTAACAGAGGGATTGGAGGCCCTGCTCAGTGAGTTTACATGTTAGAGGGAGTGTATAGTGACACAGTAACAGAGGGATTAAGGGCCCTGCTCAGTGAGGTTGCTACGTTAGAGGGAGTGGGGGTATAGTGACACAGTAACAGAGGGATTGAGGGCCTGCTCAGTGAGTTTACATGTTAGAGGGAGTGGGGTATAGTGACACAGTAACAGAGGGATTGAGGCCTGCTCAGTGAGTTTACATGTTAGAGGGAGTGGGGTATAGTGACACAGTAACAGAGGGATTGAGGGTCCTGCTCAGTGAGTTTACATGTTAGAGGGAGTGGGGTATAGTGACACAGTAACAGAGGGATTGAGGGCCTGCTCAGTGAGTTTACATGTTAGAGGGAGTGGGGTATAGTGACACAGTAACAGAGGGATTGAGGGCCCTGCTCAGTGAGTTTACATGTTAGAGGGAGTGGGGTATAGTGACACAGTAACAGAGGGATTGAGGCCCTGCTCAGTGAGTTTACATGCTAGAGGGAGTTGGGTATAGTGACACAGTAACAGAGGGATTGAGGCCCTGCTCAGTGAGCTTACATGCTAGAGGGAGTGGGGTATAGTTACACAAAGGGTATAAGTAGGTGTAATGAAATAGGTTGCTATAAAAGTCAAGACTGAGAACTTGATATTTTTTTACAGTTGCAGGAGAGGAGTCATCGGGGGGGGCAGGTGTAGCAGGGGTGGGGGGGAATGAAAACCTGCTAACAGTTTAATTGATATGCTTTCCTTAATGTGTGTTTTCAAAGATTTTTTTGAAGTAGTGGAGACTGGAAGGGAGTTCCACAGAAAAGGTGCAGCCCTGGAGAAGTCTTAGAGGCGAGCATCAGATGTGGGAGTATGGACAGAGGATAGGTGTAGGTCTTCGACAGAGCACAGGGGCCTCGACGGGACATATTTGTGTATTAGGGACAGTGGTGTATCCTGGTTTTGTGCTGCCCTAGGCAGGACAAAACTCAGGCACCCCCCCGCGTTACCCCCACCCGCGCAACCGCCACCCAACCCTTCCCCCCTGCTCCGCCTTCTAAATACACACACACACATTCACTGACATATACGCATTCACTAGCTAACAGAAACACACACTCACTAACAGACACACACTAACAGGCAAGCGCACACACACACACTAACAAACACACACTAACAGGCAAACACACACACAGACACACACACACACACTAACAGATACACACATTAACATCCACACACACACACACACACACACTAACATACACACACTAACACACTCACTTGTGGGTTGTTTTTTTTTTTATTTAACCCCCCCAGCCTCCTTACCTTTGGGAATGCTGGGGGGGTTCTTCCTCTCCCTGGGGTCCTGGGGTCCAATGGCTGCGGCAAGGGAGCTCTTCCCCTGACCGGTCTGCTCAGCTCCCTCGCGCGCCACCAGCAGAGTGAGGCTGGGAGCCGGAAGATGACGTCATATTCCGGCTCCCGGGCTCACTCTGCTGGCGGCGCGCGAGGGAGCTGAGCAGACCGCTCAGGGGAAGAGCTCCCTCGCCGGCCGCCTGCCCGCCCAGCGCTGCCCGCTCGGCATGTCTGTTAGCCGCGAGGCTAACTAGGCATTTGCCCTGGGCATTTGGGGGGCGGCTTTTTTGCCGCCCCCTGAAAAATGCCGCCCAAGGCAAATGCCTTGTTTGCCTCGCGGCTAATACGCCCCTGATTAGGGAGGATAGGTAAGTTGGAGCAGCATTATGTAGGGACTTGTAAGCAGGCACCAGTATCTTAACTTGAGCCCTATATCTAACAGGAAGCCAATGTAGAGACTGACAGAGGGGGGAGGTGCGGGCAAACAGGAAAATGAGCCTTGCCGCCACAATTCATTATAGATTGCAGCGGTGCAATCTGGGAACACGTAAGACCACTAAGGAGGGGATTGCAGTAGTCAAGGCGAGAAAGAACAACGGCATGGACCAGCAAGTTAGCCACGTCTGGTGTTAAACAAGGGCGGATGCGAGCGATGTTTTTGAAATGGAAGCAGCAGGATTTGGCGATCGACTGGACATGAGAAGTGAAGGAGAGGTCAGAGTCAAAGAGAACACCTAGGTAACGAGCCTGTGAGGTAGAGGTGATGGTGGCGCCGTTGACTTGGAGGGAGAAACATGGGAATAGCACCTCTTGAGGGATGAAAGTTGTCTTTTGGACAGGTTGAGTTTAAGGAAGTGAGCAGCCATCCAGTTGGAAATCGCAGAGAGGCAGTCAGAGACACGAGTCAAGATGGGCAGAGAGAGATCAGAAGAGGACAGGTAGATTTATGTGTCATCTGCATATAAATGATAAAAAAGCAAGTTTACAGAGAGCGCAAATTTCTTATAATATAGTGGACTTTCTCCGCCAATGCTCCAAATATAATTCATCCACAAGAGACAATTAATACATAAGGCTGCTAAATACTTCAAAAACCTTCCCAAGTTTTAAAACATCATATATGACACAAATAAAAATAAAAAACAGTATCAGCGCTTAGTTAATATACCCCTATGTTGCATATAGGGATCAACTGTAGAAATATATAAAACAGAAGAGTTCCAATTTCAGTCTTAATGTGGGAGTTTTCAAATGTCCGTAGCGATTTTTGATAGTTGTGACAGTAAGCTTTGTCTTTATATGTATCCAACAGTATAAAGTGGTGAAACTTATTTCTAAGGTTCACAATAAAACATTGGTAATACAGAGTATTGGTTGGTGGATAAATGGTTACCGCTCCGTTGGTATTCAATTCTGGACCGGTCCTGTGCACACGGATCAGTCCTCACGAAACGCCAAATAACCGGTACTGCTGTACACACTCCAAATTCAAAAATCCCGCCAAAAACACGATCTACGTGTTTCGCTCGTTCCAACGAGCTTTCTCAAGATACCAATGTTTTATTGTGAACCTTAGAAATAAGTTTCACCACTTTATACTGTTGGATACATATAAAGACAAAGCTTACTGTCACAACTATCAAAAATCGCTATGGACATTTGAAAACTCCCACATTAAGACTGAAATTGGAACTCTTCTGTTTTATATATTTCTACAGTTGATCCCTATATGCAACATAGTTGTGCATATAAATGATAATGGAAGTCAAAGAAGCTGATGAGTTTACCAAGGGAGGCAGTAAAGATAGAAAACAGTAGGGGACCAAGGACAGAACCTTGGGGAACTCCAACAGAGAGGAGTTGGGGAGAAGAGGCAGAGCCAGAGAAAGAAACACTGAAAAAGCGCTGGGAGAGGTAGGTGGAGCACCAGGAGAGAGCAGTATCCTGTAGACCGAGATTACAGAGAATGAGAAGAAGCTGTTAATGATCAACAGTGTGAAAGGCAGCAGAAAGATCAAGAAGAATTAGGATAGAGTAATGGCTGCGAGATTTAGCAGCGATTAACTAGTTGGATACTTTTGTCACAGCTGTTTCAACAGAGTGACGAGCGTGGAATCCAGACTGAAGTGGGTCTAGCAGAGAGTTGGATTCGAGAAAGTCTGTCAAGCTCGCAGACACAGCTCTCTCAAGGATCTTGGAGGCAAATGGCAGTAGCGATATAGGGCGGTAGTTGGATGGGGAATTGGGGTCAAGGTTGGGCTTTTTCAGAATCGCAGTTATGGTTGCATGCTTGAAGGGTGAAAGAAGTGTGCCGGAGGAAAGTGAGATTGAAAATTTTAGTGAGAGGAAGAGCAGGAGAGGGAGACAGAGTGCAGCTGAGATATGAGGGAATAGGATCGGGGGAACAGGTGATGGGGCGAGAGGACGGGAGGAGAGCAGAAACCTCTTCCGTTGTTTGGATAATGATTATTATTTTAAAGCGCCAACAAATTCTGCAGCGCTTTACAAATCTATGGATAATAAACACGTTTTAACTGCAGTCCATCTTTTTACTTTTCTCTTTGGAGTGTTGGGCTTTGAAACCATGTTTTGAATTTCTAGCCTTGAGAGGTCATCCTATTGTGCATTGAGGAGTCAGCGATTGTGTGCCTATACAGGACCTGGCCACTATGCTGGCTTAATCCATGTGAACATTCAGTTTACTGGTATTCGATATCAGGGAAGCAGTGGGTTTCGTCAACTTTAATTGCAGTGTTCTGGCTGGGCTAGGATGTAGGGAAATGTAATGGTACCTTGTATTATATACTATATTTCCCAGTGCGGCTGCAGCAGGGCCCGCATGTTCAGGAGGCACATTGGGTGGACTATGCAAGTAGGGCGACCCGATGGAAAAATTATTCCAGGGGCCTGGTTTTGCACTGTGACCCTTTAACAGTGCAACAGGGCTTCTGTAATCTCAGCAGCACTGAGAGGGAGTGACAACTGGTCATTTCTTCAGATAACACAGAGCCATGCAGGAGGAAATGGCATAGAGGAGGGGTGTGGAATGGGAGAGCATCCTACTGTACCTCAAGGAAGCCACCCTGCTGCACTCAAAAGGTAGGAAACAGGGGGGTGGCTTAAAACGTGTACATTTTGCAAGTGTCTCTATTTGTGTCTGTGTATGCCCATGTATATCTGTATGAGTGTCATTGAGTGTGTGTTTGCATGTGCACCAGTTTATGTGTGGCAGTGTATATGTGCATACATCTCAGCATTCAAACTCCAACACTACACACAATCACACCTCTGCATTCAAACGACAACACCACATACAGACACACCCCTACATTCAAAGACAAGCACTACACACTAGTAAACCACAGCTTTTAAATGGCAACAGTACATACATAAAACCACACAGCACTACATAGAAATACACTCCAACATTCACACACACACACACACACACACACACACGCTCTATACAAAAAACATGCTTACATTCAAACACACAAACACTGCTCAGTGCTAAATACACCCCTGGCAGATCCCCAGCTGGCAAAGCATTGTGGGTGTTGTACTACAGATGGGGATATTCCTTTATTCCCCATCCTTGCGATAGGGGGACAAAAAAAAAAAAAAAATGTATATATTTCTTGCACCAGGGCCCTCTTTAAGTTCCGCCACTATTTCCCAGCATTCCCAGCTTGCATTTAGACTAACTGAGCATCATGGGAAACTAAGCTTCTAAACATTGCCGTCTTAATATAAGAAATCCAACTGAGACATTCCGTCTACTCGGATATAAATAACACAAAATGTTTCCTATTGAGATTGATTAAAATTGCAGTGTGCACCTTCTGAATCATGACCGTTCTTTTTCATTGTTATCCTCATCAGCCCAGAATACTCAGACATTATGTCACTTTTATAGGACCATCTCCAAGTCTCAACTGCACAGAGCAGAGTGTAGCAATTTCACCAATAATGGAAAATGACAAATCTTTATTATTCAGAAATCCTGGGAGTGGAATTCAAATTCACTTTCATACACAGCGCATACAAATGGACACCTCAAGGCTGCAGGCCAGGTAATTCCTCTCTGGGGATCAGCCTGCATTGCCGCTTTCATTCCTTCAAAAATAAATAGATAACCCACGTGTGCCTGAGATCGATGCACACACAAACATTTACATATAATTTCACATATTTTTGGAAAGGATTCTGATCTGTGGTGGGCCCTGATGCTAGGACAATCTGAAGACAAAAGGGCTACTAGAACAAACTATTCCAAAGTTGGAACCTTCACCTGCTTGAGTGTTTCTACAACAGCAGACCCAATGTGACGGGCTACAATAAATGTATGTGGGAACTATGATTGAATAAGAGAGACCTTCATCTACATTAACACCAAAAGAGTGTTTCAACATGGTCAAGCTAATGTCACAATTGGAATTAGAATGACTACAGAAATCATATAACAGTCATGAGTTAGAAGCTATTCCAAAACCTACGAGCAGGGCCGGCCTTAGGCGCCCTGTGTGAAAAATCTTCACAACGCCCCCCGTCATTCATGTATAGTGTGTGTGTATAGGAGTGAAGTGATTCTATAGCGGATTTATTAAAATAATAATGATTTAAAAACAAATATTCATTCCTCCTTTCCTGTTTCCATGCTGATCTGAAGCTGGTCTGCCCCTCCACTGTGGTGGCAAAGCTAGCACACCCCTAAGGCCTGCCCTGCCTACGAGGTCTGTCCGGAAAGTGACCAGCCATTTAAAATGAAAAATTGAGACATTGATCAAGATACAAGACAAAAGAAACATTGTACGTAGGACAATGACACCTCGGTCCCTTCAAAGTAAGTTGGGACCTCACATAGTTCTCCCAGAGTCTTCTCTTCCACTGTTCAAAGCACTAAGCAAAATCTACATTAGTTGCCTTGTCGTATTTACCTGAATCTCATCGATGGTCTGAAATATCTTCCCTTTCAAAAGGTGATTTTAGTTTTGGGAAAAGCCAGAAGTTGCAGGATGCCAAATTTGGGATGTAGGGGGTCTAGTTGTTGTACACTGCATGCTTTGCATCATCCCCAAAAGCCTTCTGAATCATCCAAATAGTTTCCGGAGGAATGTTCAAACTTAACGCAAAATTTAATGCAGATTTGTTGCTCTACTTGCTCAGTTATTTTCAATGTGATGACCACATAGTACACATACTCACTCAACGACGTCTAGCACCCCCATTGACTAGTACAGTAAAGTAGTCATGCATGCGCATTCCAGTCCATTCTCCTTGGCTGCCAGGTTACATCGATGTTGCGCAAAACATTCTCATTATATTAACAATGGCTGGATACTTTCTGGACAGACCTTGTATATCTACAGATGTTTTTCAACCTACATCTGCGACCCAAGATGTCATAACAGCAGATATAAGATAGATAATCATAGAGAAGCTTGCAGTCCTTGGCAACTGGATAAGTCTACCTAAGATCACTGGACAACTGCTACCAGTATGCAAGCAGTGGTTAACAAGGCAAACTCTACAATCCCAACCAGCGTAATCGCGGTGAGCAACCAGTTCATATACAACACAGCATTAGTCTTCCTCCAACAGCTCCACTACAAGGTCAGGGTGAAAGAGAAAGGACACGGCCCACCATAGAGACTGTAAGCCAAGATAAAGGCAACATGCATATTCTCATCTCACTAGAAGTACAACAAAAGTTAAAGAACTAAAATATGCATCGGGATTTCCCACAAACATACTTCCAATGTATTGCCTATGAGGGCAGGAGCCACGATTTTTCAGATCACGTAAAGGGATATAGTCCTGAACAGACACTATAAACCAAATCTGAAATTGTGAAGAACGGACTTGAATTGTCATTTTGACACTTAAATGGTAAAAGTGGAAATCTTCTCCAACAAAGCTACTTTTCCAGCTTAACTTTTGTGACCTAAAATATTTAGTGACTAAACCAATGTTTTAAACGGACACTCTAGGCACCCAGACCACTTCACCTCATTGAAGTGGTCTGGTTGCATTGCCCCAGGTCCCTTAACCCATGGCAGGTCATTATTGCAGTTTATGATAAACTGCAATAATTCCTGCTAGGGTTATCTCCTCCTCTTGTGGGATTTCCACTAGAGTGACGTCTGGGCTGTTTTGCTTTCCTATGGACAAATCCTAAGTTTGTTTTCCTGGCACAATAGTTTCCCTTTAAACTTTGGCCAATAATTAAACTTTTATTCTTGGATTCACAATAGTATTTCATACGATATCCTGTAATATAGTTTAAGCTCTTTTAAGAATGGCATAAAAAGACAACATTCACCTGGAATAAAAGAACACAGACATGGGTCACCATGAGAGCGAACTATACAGTGTAATAAACAGAGATGCTCGGCCCCCCTGCCCTTTGCCTCACTTTCTTGCCTTAATCAATATGGAGACTGTTACCCATTCCCTCTCTTACCAGCGGTTCAAGCTCTCGATGGTCGATAAGACTGAACTCTGTAATGAAATAATAAAAGTGTTTGTAGCAGGTGTTGACGTGCGCCTCTGCTCCCACGCTAATAATTCCGTCAAAGTGATGGATGTAGACATGAACAAAAACCCGGAACAACCTGGTGAGGATCTTGTGACAAACCTGCTGGAAATTCTTTGGAAATGGGACTCCTGCAATGATAAGACAACGACATATGGCACATCAGCAATCATGGTTGTGTATAGATTGTTCAACAGTTCCAAAGTTCCAAAGGAAAACCAATTCCCGTAAAACCATCACAAATGTTATATTGCCGACAAAATATTTCCAAGTGCTGGAATTCGGGGTGCCCAGTGAAAAGATGAACTCGATTCCTGCACATTATGACAAATGTTAACAGCTACTTCTGGATTTCAGTCTAAACAAACATGTGTTCTACTACTCTCTTCAAATAAACAGTACCAGAATATTAAAAAAAAAAAAGAATAGAAAATAAAATCAGTTTTTAATAATTAAGCAAGAGTTTTTAATTGTGGGGGAGATTTATAAAATTACTGCTAGAGATGGATCAAAATCGAGAGAAACATCCCTTTGGTTTCCATGGTGACTGCTCCACTTTCAGAACTTTGCCCTAATTTTCCTGCGAACGACAATTTCATGAGATTTACCAACAGACCTATCAACGTCCCACTCTTTCAATGAAGATTATATATGAATAATGCTGCAATGCACAACACTAATCATGATCTATCTTGCGTCTGTATGGCCGTTATACAGTTATACTCATATTGCAACTTTCCTTGCAGTTCGGATAATGCCAGATCCATATTAATATAGAATGGTCATCTGAACCGTGCAGTTTTACACATTTTATTTCCAAAACAATTTGTGAATAATAATTTGGTAATCTATTTCTGTCACTGTTTATTTTATACATGACCTCTCACACCAACTGTATAGTGAATATGATCCTTTTCATATATATCCCCCTTGTCATTACTAACAATAGATTTTAAATATTCACAAAGCTGGGAATGCCATAGATCCTGCTCCCATGATTCTGTATTTCCTACAGTTGGAGTAGAACAACTAAACTAGTCGTTTAATTCTAAAAACATGGACGTGCGCAGAACACAAGAAGCATTTGCCAAGCACACATCTATTGCATTCTTGTTTTAGAATTAGATCCACCAATTGTGTTAGAGAAAGGCACCAAAATATTTTTCCCTTAGAGCCCTTTAAGATGTAAACCTATTCCTGTCTGATACGAAGAAACAATTAACAATGTATCACTGAGCAATGTGCAGGATTATCCCTAAATCACGGGATCTGTCTGTGCAACTCAGAAGCAGGAATTCAAACCCAGATCTTAAATCAGAAACGGCAACGGTATTACAAGGGAAAAAAAGTCTATTTAAAGGAACAGGACACATTATCTCTCTCACCCCCCCCCCCCCGCCACCTGCAGTGGCTATGGTGCCAGGCGTGCCCTGAAGCCCTCCATTGTAATAAGGAACATAATTATAGATTGGCTTTTTGCCTGGGGTCTACTTTCCCGACTCCCTGCCTCCACTACGGCCCAGTCAGAGCCAAAAGCTCTAGACCACGGTTGTCGAAAAAGTAGATCCCCAGATGTTACAACTCCCATGATGCTGTGCATGCCTTTAGAATGACAGAGCATCATGGAAGCTGTAGTTTTAAACCGCCTAGGGATCTACCTCTTGGGCACCCCTTACCTAGACAGATCCTAGTTCAGTGAAGACTAACCTGGTCACTGCAGATGTTTTTGGACTACATTTCCCATGAGCCTAAGCTAGCCTTCAGACTAGCTATGTATCCTGGGAAATTCAGTCAAAACATCAATATGAATTTTAGACATCACAGATCTCGATGTTCTGAAAGCATGGTCCTAGTATGCCTTTCCATTCTTTTGTGTGTTTGCTAATTGTGCTGCAGGTTGCTAAGCAACACATCTTCATTAAGAAATGGTTGCGTTGCCCAGTAAATCCATACACCTGATGGAGGTCTGTGTTTGTAGTAATCAACCGCCTGCAGTGGATGAGCCTTAATGCAAAGTCAAAATTAAATTCCAAGAACTATTTTTCAGAAAAGGCCAAAACAGCAATCAAAACAGCATTGTCCTCAGTGATTAAAAAAAAAAAGTTGAGCTAAATTGCTCGTAACTGCTGAGTGACAAGCAAAACAATTAAATAGCTTTTTACTACACTTACAGGGCACAGTAAGGTGAAAAGGAAAAGTAGCTTTTAATTTAGGTTTAATATATATATATATATATATATATATATAAAATTAAACTAAACAGAGTTATTCAATAAAGTGTAAACATATGAAATATTCTCACATTCTGTCTAGGCAAGTTTTAGTAGAGTGTGAAACCAAAACAAAAGTCAAAACCACACACACACTCCAACCAACCAAACCTCAAAGTTTGACGGGAAGTGTGAAGCGGGGTGGATCTATAACCATGTACAACAGTTGTACAACGAACTTCAAAAGGGCTTGTGTATAAAAAGTGTAAGTTTTTTTCCTGCCAATATTAATTTGCAGTTTTATGCTCCAAAATTATGTATTCAATTTTTAAATTAAAAAATAATAATTTAGCTGTGCATGTATAAAATGGCAGAATAATATCAAATGTGTAAAAGGGACACTATAAGTAATTAAACAACTTTAGCATACTAGAGTGATTTTGGTGACTAGATCATCTCCTGCAGTCTCACTGTTCAATTCTCTGCCATTTAAGAGTTAAATCACTTTGTTTATGCAGCTGTAGCCACCCCTCCCACCATGTGACTTACATGACCTTCCTAAACACTTCCTGTAAAGAGAGATCTAATGTTTAAACTTTGTTTATTACACAGTCGATTTAATTTAGACTTTCTTAACTCCTGCTCTGTTAATAGCATGCAAGAGCCTATAGGAGCCTCCTGTGTATGATAAAAGTTCAATTTACAGAGCAGGATATATAAACTTCTAAAGTATGTTAACATCTGATGAAAAATAAAAACATTTTTCTTTCCATGTGTCAGTCACAGTCAGGGGAGGTGTGGCTAGGGCTGCATAAACAGAAACAAAAGTCATTCAACACTTAAATGGCAGAGATTGGAGCAGCAAGACTGCAGGGGCATGATCTATACACCAAAACTGCTTTATTACATTGAAGTAGTTTTGATGCCTATAGTTTGCCTTTAACATAAAAGTTGTTTTGTTGCTGAAGGTATACATGACAAAACCTTACTAGCCTTAGCAACTGCAGATTGACATTGCATATTGTTGCCTAATTTGCTGTCTATAACAATTCCCAAATCCTTCTCGTATGTGGTTATCCCGAATTCACTACCATTTAGTGTGTAAGTTGCTTGTGAATTCTTAACCCCGAAGTGCATAACTTTGCATTTCTCTACGTTAAATTTCATTTGCAATTTTAGTGCCCAGTCCCCCAATCTATCCAAATCCCTCTGCAGCAAAGCAATATCCTGCACACATTTTATTACTTTACAAAGTTTTGTGTCATCTGCAAACACTGATACATGGCTTTCAATGCCTATTTCAAGATCATTTATAAATATGTTAAATAGAATGTTAATGTCAGACTGTGAATATTTACTGTATCTATACAACTAAATCTGTTTTCGGACAGCTGGCTGGGCATCATGAGAGTCAGGTGCCTGCTATGTTTTCATGTGAGCAGTGATCATAGGATAAGTGAATATGTGTGGTTTAACTTCTCAGTGTTAACAGGATATCCTGCCTCATTTCCGCCCACCAGAGTTCAGTGGAAATCCGGAAACAGACTACTTCAACCAGATAACATTTATAGGTAAATATTTGACAATATAGTGTTCCTTTAAGAGATTTCAGCACAGGTCACTATTTAGTGACCAATAAGAGAAGTCTGACTCGTAGGGACACTTTCCAGTTTATTGAAATCATTTTTTTGTCACAAAACAAACAATAATAATAATAATAAAAAAAATTAAAAAAAATCAATCGACATTTTGAACACTAATTGGTATTGTGAATGTGGTATATGTGTGTATATATAATAATATGGTACATTGCTAAATAAAATACAAGAACAGATTGAAAATGACAACATGCCTACGTGATACCGTGGCTCGTTTGTACCATTAAGGCAGCCCTGTTACCTATTTCATAGATATAAAATCTTTACGCAATACGCATTTATTCATTGGATATTTAAATTCCATCACAATCAAAAAACAAACAAACCAAAAAAAAAAGATTTGTAAAAAAAAAGGATCTAGGCAAAACCGGTGTAGGCAAAATGACAAAAAGGAACAAGGTCACGTGGAGGATGAAACTCTAGGAACCGAAAAGTAAAATGGCGGCACTATCACCATAACCACTATAAGAAGAGTTATGGTGCTTCGAGTGTCCCTTTAAAAGAAGTTGAAAAGGGGTATTCATTAGGTTAGGTTTGTAATTATTGGAAGCAGATATAATGAGAAGTTAAAGGGACACTACAGGCGTACTGTAGTGGTTCTAAGGCAAAGAGCCCATTAGGCTTAGCAGTCTAAACACGGTCTTACATCTTTATGAGATAGATATATATACTCACTCAACGCTCCCCATAAAGATGCATTGCGTTATTGCATCTCTAAGGGGAGATGCGCACTTGTCTCCCAATGCTATGGGAAGACATTGGATTGGCCAAGATCATACCGATTGATTATCTCAGCCAGCAGAAGTGGGGAGGCTGCACTGAGACCAGAATGACAAGGGTATAGAGGAGGACTAAATCCCTTTATTTTATTAGTTCTTTGAGAGGCCCGATAGCCTAAATCACGAGTATAACACTACAGCGTTAGGATTAGGAATTCAATATATGTATTCCTAATGATATAGCGTTCTTTAAAAAAAAAAAAAAAAAACTAAGTTAAGATTACACATAATTTGCAGACTAAAACAATGCACATCTCACGCCACACGCTGACGCAAAGCACACCATTTAACACGCATACATGTAAATATATACATTATGTCTGTTTATACCCATTAGTGCCGCCTGACTGGGCCAGTTGCCAGTGGAAATTCTGGCTGCTCAGATAAAACGCCAGGCAGTGCCTTAGAAAGAGAACAGTTGAGATTTACAGTTCGCTTTCATACAAATTCCCCTTACATATATAGAGTGATAGTTACAGATAGCACACATCATTCATCAAGTATTCAGCAATTAAAAGACACTTTATTTCATTAACTGCATTGGTCTGTGTTGATACGAGAAATTATCCAAAATACTAGAGAGAAATGTACAATATAATTGTTGTTGGGACTCCTATTCTCAACCCGGAGAAAGCTGTCAAAAGGAAAGATTTGAGGATCCCTCCCCCCCATTTGTCATTTTAATCTCTTTAACAAAAAAACTTCCTCTGCCACCAAAGTCCCTGTCCACCCTTTTCTTTACAAGGTTACATAATCAAAGTTCAGCAAATTCACTTACAGCCTCCTCTACAGGCCTCTGCCCAGGCCTTCTCCCTTTCCGCAAAAACATCACCAGCTTCCAATCCAACATTTCTATTATTAAATGTTATTCTCACGTACAAATCCCCACTGATAATATTGCTACTCCCCCTTTTTACTCGTCTATCGCTTCACCTCCATAATGCTCACACCGTATCGTAAACTCTATCCCAATTCCATTCTCCCCTCACTCCTAGGTTTAGTCAAACTCCTCTCCTCTTCCATTACTCCCTACTCTCCACCCAGGACTCTTTGTTATTCAGACGCGATCTCAGATGTACTATTGACAAAACAAACCAAAAGATACAAGCAACATCATCAAAAAAATAAAAATTTTAAAGTTACCTGCGCTCTTTTCCACATCCCTATGTATATTTAAACAAATGGAGGTTTTCAGTTACCTCCAATGGCCATGAGAGGGTATGCCCACCTGCCACGTCAAGGCAGACCTCTTTGGTGGATCCTAACTAACCATTCACCTTGCTTCCTTGAGCTTCTGGCAAAGATATCTCTAATGAGACAGAAAGGGTTATATTTTATATACATCCCTACATGCTTATTAACCCTTAACAGAGAACACATGGAATGGGCAGCGGAATTGCAACCTAGCTGTGTGATACAAAAGTGAATACAAATACAAAAAAAAAATAAACAAGTCCTGCGCTCAAACTCCCATTACTCCTGGGCAGCAGCAACGACCGTAGTACACATCAGCCCAAATATATACAGTAAAAACCAAAAAAAAAAAAAGTTACCTGCGCTCTTTCCTAAATCCCTATGTATATTTAAACAAATGGAGATTACTCTGAGAGGCCATAAGCTTACCTAAAGAGGGTTTTAAGGCATTTCTTAAACAATTAAAGACTAGGGGAGAGTCTGATGGCAGTATGCAGGCTATTCCATAGGAAGGGAGCCACCCGCGAGAAGTCCTGCAAGCGCGAGTTGGCCGTACGGGTGCGAGCAGCGGTCAGGAGGTGGTCACGGGCAGAGCGGAGGGAACAAGGAGGGGCATACCTATGGATCTGTGAAGATATATAAGAGGGGCTAGAATTGTTCAGTGCTTTATAGGTATGGATTAGCACTTTCAATTGACGACTATAGGATACAGGAAGCCAATGTAAGGACTGACAGAGGAGCGAGGTGTGAGAGGACCGACTAGAGAGGAAAATCAGTCTGGCGGCAGCATTCATTACAGACTGTAGCGGGGCAATACGGCTTTTGGGAAGACCAATCCTGAGAGGGTTACAATAATCCATGCAGGAAACTAGAGCATTGACAAGCTCCTTGGTAGCATCTTGCCTAATAAAGGGGCAGATGCGGCCTATGTTTTTAAGATGAAATGAGTAGTGCCGATACGTAACAGCTGTTTGCTTTGTGGAATTTTTTTTAATTTCAAGTTTTTTTTTTTTATACACAGAATAAGTCAAACCCTCCATCCCTCAATTAGTGAGATCTCACAAGAGTCTCTTTGCAGAAGTTCTCACTTTTGTTCAACTCCACCTGCGAAAGATGTACATATCCATTACCGTTTCTCATCACTTCCTTTTGCAAGTGGGGGGGCAGTGGGTTTAAGATGAGGTGCATGTGATTTTTGCAAAACAAAATAAAAAATGTACATCTATTATGTAAAAACATCCAAATAATTTTTGTCATTATTCCCATTGAGCATTTAAAACCCTTGAAAGGGGAATCTCTTTTAATCAACTCTTTTGGATACACAGGAGTATACCACTGTTTCATTGAGAAGGGTTACATTTACTGCTTGCATGTGGCAGATAAGAGACCCCACACAGTAACTGTTACATTTCATTCTTATTACAATAGCCCCCTTTGATCCCCTCCCCCTCCATATTCTGTGCTGATCCCCTTTCTGTAATTCATATAAATTTATAATAACCTTGCATTATAAATTATTCATCATCGATACATTTTTTGCAATACTTCGCTGGCAAGGAAGGAATTCTACTTGGCCACATCACTAATTAGTTCAGTTTGCAAAATTATGCAAATGTACATCCAGGGAGGTCCAAGTCCCTAGTAATGGAAGAGACTCAGTAAATGAATTTATAATTTATATTTAAAAAAAAAAAAAATGAAGTGAAGAACCACTGCCCCCCTCCCCCTCTTCCAGCCCGAACACTGTACTCTGATGGTTCTGAGGTCTGCTTCCTTGGCGTTTTATTAAAAGGAAACTATTTCTCTACTGGCAGACACGGGGCTATTGGGAATAATGCTTGGAAATGGCCTAGAATTGGAAATGTGAAACTCCTGTGTTTGTAGTGAGAAGACAGCGATGGATGAGCTACAATATTTCCAGTTATTATGTTTAGAATATTACTCCACTCAGTCTCGATCTGACCATTTCAACGTCCAGAGGAATTGACTTCTTTAGAAAGCTGCAATTTGTCTTGGGAAAGGTCAGGATCCATGAATTGTTGAACGTCTCGGCTAAATAATAAAACCAGGACTCAAAGTGCACATCGGCCTGCAGTAACACAAATCAAGATGATGTGAATTCGAGGTCACACGACGGTTAGTTACACACTTGCTGTAGAACACACAAGGAGAACAGACGTTATTGAGCATAAACCTCTGCTGTTGATTTTACATAAAAAAATAAATAAATTTAAAGTGTAAATTTAGAGTTGCCCAGTCATATACACGCATGTCAGCGGAGGATGATAGGGATTAAATTAGAAGTTAAACTAGAGTTTACATACCTCGGAGTGTTGGGAGGGAGTGTAAAATTGGAGCCAATGGGAAGATGGGCCAGTAAAGGGTGCTATGTGCGCCACCAGTGACACAGGACGATGCGTGAGTTCTAGGTCAGCAGTTTTCACAACTACTGACTGAACCTCAGTCGTTCAGTTTGCCATGTCTGAAACGTCTTTCCTCACACTTGCAATCTATTTACGGAACTCCTTCGTGATGTTTTTTGCAATATCTTGTCGTAGAGTTGACAGTTTTAATATCCAAAATGAGTAGAAGTCTCCAAAGTTAGTTGCAGAATTGGTTGTGTTTGGGTCCCTGAATCAGTGTTACATGCAGCTAGTTGAGTGACTGACTTCTTAGCCTCCATTTAGTTGTGTCACGGTGAATAAGGCCTTACTTGCATATCTCAGCCCAGAAACCGTCTTTTCTGAGTTTTGTTCACAGTTAGTTTAGATGATCGAATTTTGTCGAATTAAATCAAATAAGTAGCTTTTTCTCCTTTTTTTCCCCACTGTATTAAAGCCCACATCTGTGGAGAGCGCTTTTACATGGCAGTCATTTCAGTCAGCAGCCAGGCCACGCGCCCCAGGACGGTGTGTGTCAATCCTGCTGTGGGCTGCCCATGTGACCCCAGAAGCCTGATTGTATACAAAGTATCTAAAGGGACACTGAAACTGAACTGATACATTTATAATTAAGGCATTTCATATTAAAAGGGACACCCCACTGCCCATATGCAAGATAATCACTATTTAGCAGATATTCCCCAAATTAGAACTTGCATGCATGGAATTATGCATTTTAATTGGGAGTTTATCTAAAAACAGTTTGCAAAACATGCAGATCTCTTGACTGCAGCCTTTGCCAGCCCTCCCATACTTTCTGTGGCTGTCCAATCACAGACTTCCCAATGCAGCTCAATAAGAAATCTTTGCAAGGCAGGTTCTCTGAGCAATTGCTGCCTCGAGTTTAGCTTCACTGAGATAAACAAACCAGGAAATAACAGGACCAGTTGTCTGATTGACAGCCAAGGGTGTGTAACAAGGTAAATTTATAAAAGGTGTACATTTCTATTGAAAATAAATAAATTAATTAATAGGACATACTTGTCACACAATGCTTTTCAGCAAGCTGAAGTGCTTTAGGGGTCTGGAATGTCTTCATTAAAGTAATGATGAAAATGTTCTTTACTAAAAACATCCCTCCGTAGCAAGTAAATGTCTGTCCTAGAGGTATAGAATAATTTTAAATATTATGATTTTGAGAAGCACAGATGGTAAATATCTGGATCATTAGCAAACTCTCGCTTTATTTGATGAGCCATCTCCTGTTCATGTTTTATGACTTCAACCAGGATGGAAGATTCCAATTAAGGATTTCCTTGCGGGCCAGTTATTACACAAAGAACCTGCGGCGTACTGCACTGATTACCAACCTTAGTATCCAGAAGTTTCTGCTCTGCTTTTCCCAAGGTGCTGAGCCAGCCTTGAATCTGGCCAAGCATGGTGGGAAATGTAGTTCAGGAAGACGTGGGGTGCCAAGGTAACTCATGACTCTTGTGCACGGGATTCTAAGGGATATCAATCATTTTGGTCGGATTATTTTTCTTTGACTTTTTTTTCCAGGAATATTTGTCAGTCGCATATCATTGATACATCTCTTTATGTAAATAATTTTCAACTATGCCTAATATCGTGTAGGTCCACCTTATGCTTCCAAAAGAACTTGGATGCGTCAAAACATGGACTCCACAAAACCTGTGAATGTGTCCTATGGTATCTGGCACCAAGATATTAGGGGCAGAACATTTAAGTCCTGCAAGTTGTAAGGTGGGGACTCCATGGATCAGGTTTAATGTCCCAGCACATCCCACAGATGTTTAATTGGATTGAGATCAGGGTAATTTGGAGGCCAAGGAAACACCTTGAACTTTGTCATGTTCCTCAAGCTATTACTGAACACTTTTTGTAGTGTGGCAGGGTGCATTATCCAGCTGATAGAGGCAATTGCCAAAATGAAACACCATTGCCATAAAGGGGTGTACGAGGTCTGCAGTAATCTCTAGGTAGGTGGTACGTGTCAAAGTAACATCCACATAAATCCCATGACCCCAGGTTTTCCCAGTAGAACATTGTCCAGTGTATAATAATAAACGCAAACGCACCTGGTAAATGACGCAAACGCACCTGGCCATCTGATTAAAAAAAAAAAATTATTTTGATTTTTTTTTGAAGTGATTACATAGACCAGGCAACCTTCTTCAATTGCTCCATGGTCCAGTTCTGATGCTCCCATCCCTGTTAATGACACTTTTGGCTGTGGACAGGGGTCATCATAAACACTCTGACTGGCATGTGTCTACACCTCCCCATATGCTTTAAAGTGCGATGCACTGTGTGTTCTGACACCTTTCTATCATGGTCAGCATTAATCTTTTCAGCAATTTCAGTTACAGTAGCTCTTTTGTGTGATTGGACCAGACGAGCCTTGAGCGCCCATGATCCTGATCACAGGTTGTCCTTCCTTGCATTACTTTTGGTAGGTACTAACCACTGCATACCGAGAATGAAAATACATCTTATAAAACGGTAACGTTTTTAATTCTTTGCATATGAATATATTTCCAGGGATTAAGGTATGTTCATTATTGGTTGGATCATAAAAACAAAACAAAACCAAAAACTAAAACGTATAAGCATACATCATCCGAAAAGCTGTGTGCCCTTCTGGCTCTAGTTCTAGACACAGATGTTAAATATTCACCTTCAATAACTCTTGGAACTTTCTAATTAAATATCAGTGGAAGCTTGAATGATGTAATTTTCCTAGCAACAATGCAGAATACGTCTCGGATTCCGCCTTCTTTAAATAAAGCTATTGTTCAGCTTTCCTATTTATAACCCATATTGTTTGATTGTGAATGACAGATGCTAATTACAGTGTATTTTCACAGCACTCAAAAAGGTTAAATCTTACATTCACCCCTAAGTGCTAAAATAGCAAAGCAAGAAGAAAAACAAAAAAAACAAAAAAATATATACATACATATATATATATATATATATATCAAACTCGTCTGAGACTTTTACAGTTGTCCTATTCTGGCCAGCGTTTTAGAAGACAATTTTCACTGCACTGGTGAGCAGTGGTGTATTTAGCCCAAGGTAAACTAGGCATTTGCCTTGGGCAGCACTAACCAGGGGGCTGCAAAATATGCCACCCCCTGGCATTGGGGACGGGAGGGGGAGCTCTCCCTGCCATAGGGGGGTCCAAGAGCTGGCCACTTTATGGACCAACCGGTGTGCGGCTGTGCTAGTATCAGAGGCGGCGAGGGAGCTGTGACCTCCCCGATCTGCTCCCTCACGCTCCATTTGCTAATGCCGGGAGCCAGAATATGACGTCATTCCGGCTCTCTGCATCAGTAGACGGCCCACGAGGCGTGAGGAGCAGATCAGGGAGATCACAGCTCCCTCACCACCTCTGATGCTAACACAGCCGCACGCCTCACAGCAGCCCCACTGGACCCCCAACAACAGGTAGGAAGGCTGGGTGAAATTTTTTAACTATTATAATAATATTAATAATTAGTGATATTAATAATTAGTGATTTTGTATGATTCTGTATGGGTGTGTGTGAGTGTAGGTGTGTGTGTGTGAGTGTAAGTGTGCACATGTGAGTGTATGAGTGTGTCTGTCAGTGTGTGTGTGTGTCAAATCAGCGAGACTGTTTGTCATTAAGTCTGTGTTTGACTATCAGAGTGTGTCTTTCAATGAGTGTCTGCCAGTGAATGTGTTTGTGCGCCTGTCAGAGTGTGTGCTTAAAAGGACAGTATAGGCACCCAAACCACTTCATCTCATTGAAATAGGCTGGGTGCAGTGTCCCACTCCCCTTTGACCCTTTAAGGTAAATTATTGCAGTTTCTCAGAAACTGCAATAATTACGATGAGGGGTTAACTTCTTCTGGGTAGTTAGGCGATCAATAGTCGCCTAACTGATGCTGAGGACATCCAGCATCTGCTAAAGTTCCATAGGAAAAAATTAATACAGTGCTTTCCTATGGGGAGCCTAATGCAAGCACGGAGGAAGAGCCTGACCCTGCACTGAGGTACATCGGCGCTGGATAAATGTAAGTGACTGAAGGAGTTTTAACCCCTATAGTGCCAAATTGGGAGGGGAGAGCATGAGGGAAAAATCTTTCCTGGCACTATAATATCCCTTTAAAAGGAGTAGGAAAAGGTGGAGTGTAAAGAGGAAGAAGTGGGTTCTTAATCAGGAAGAGATGCAGTCTTGACCAGTAGGGGTGGGGCAAATTTAGATTAGGGGGGTGCCCATGTTTAGTCATGCCTAGAGCAGCACAAAACCAAAATACATCACTGCTGGTGAGACCTCACTTGGAGTATTGTACAAAGTACTGGAGACCGTATCTTCAGAAGGATATTGATACCTTAGAGAGGGTTCAGAGAAGGGCTACTAAACTGGTTCATGGATTGCGGGATAAAACTTACCAGGAAAGGTTAAAGGATCTTAACATGTATAGCTTGGAGGAAAGACGAGATAGGGGGGATATGATAGAAACATTTAAATACATAAAGGGAATCAACACAGTAAGGGAGGAGACTATATTTAAAAGAAGAAAAACTACCACAACAAGAAGACATAGTCTTAAATTAGAGGGACAAAGGTTTAAAAATAATATCAGGAAGTATTACTTTACTGAGAGGGTAGTGGATGCATGGAATAGCCTTCAAGCATGAAGTGGTAGTGGATAACACAGTGAAGGAGTTTAATCATGCGTGGGATAGGCATAAGTCTATCCTAGCCATAAGATAATTGGGCAGACTAGATGGGCCGAATGGTTCTGATCTGCCATCACATTCTATGTTTTTGTGTAAAGTGCCATCAGGGCACTTTGACAAAACCCATTCGTCTCTGTGTTTCACCTCCTCATTTGTTACGGTGATGAAAGTTCCCATGCCACAACATTCTGGACAGGCATGAAGGTCAGCCTCCTGCTCACAGACTATAGGCCCGATCCCAAGAGCCCCTAAAAGACCCTCAACTGCCTAAATGGGAGATACTCTGAAACATTTATATGAATTGGGATGGTACATAGGTTTGCACAATCCCCTGACCTCCAAATAGGGGGAGGTTAGAGAGGCAAGGTAGCATCAGAGGATACTTGGGGCTTGAGAGTGCTCCACTCCCCAAAGGTCCGGGAACCTCTTTTTGGAGACCAGAACTAAGCCGCCTCACTCCTATAACTTATTGTCGGATCGATGAATAGTCACAACACCATAAAAAAACCTTTAACAAGTGGTTTCTCGGGCATGGATTCTCCAATCAGGGCGCTATTTGAATAGCAAGGGCGCTCTGTTACAAGCTTTCCAGAGATTTATATGCTGTGGGAGTACAGTCCATGGAAAGGGGGTTTTGGTGGACAGTTTGAAAGCGGTGTCTAATTTGCAAGGACACTCAAAAGGTGAGTTATACTTACTTGAACCTGTCCCCCAAGGCAATTGCCACTGGCGCTTCATCTGACTGGAACTAATGTTAGTGCTGTACTCTCATGCATGCGCCAGAGTACAGAATTGAGATCTATGGAGGATACCACAAGCCATTTCATAGATATGTACTATAGCAAAAAAAATCACAAAAAAAAAATTGTAATACAAATTTTAACAAGCGTGGAATATCTCCTCCCAAGTTGTTACCTCAAAAAAACACCCAAACAACGTGAAAAAAAAAAAAAAAAAAAAAAAAAGGTGGAGGAACCCAACCCCAGAAAGTAAATACCACTTCATAGATATTGTCTTACAATCACTTGTTCTCAAGCTTCATCCCTACTTTGCCTTATGTAATCAACGAGAAATAAATAAAAAATAAAAAAAGGAGCAAATTAAAGTAAGGCAAGTATAGGGTGACAAAGCCACCTTTAAAAATCATAACCATTACAATGGATTGTTGATACGTCCCTCTGTATTTAAAAAAAAAAAAAAAAAAAAAATGTAAAAAGTGGCCTCATGGAGCAAAGTTATAACATAAAAAACAAAAAACAAAAGGATGCATTTTGAAGTATACAAAAATGGGTAACTCTTTATAAATAGGATAAAACACTCACCCATCCTGGTCGGAAAGATGTCTTCATTATTAATTAAGGTTTCAATCCACTCCATAAGCATGTTCATGTACAGTGGAGCAGAGAGCTTGGTGGGTCTCTTGAACTTGTTGTCATCCTGCCACCGATATTCATATTTAAACCCACCAGACATGATGGGGCAGCTTTTCTCTGTGCAAAACTCTGACATGGTGCCATATATCAAGTTAATCCTATTGAAAAAGTCTACAACGTGCACAGCTATCCAGTCATTAATGTTTTCCCCTGGGGGAAGCTGAACCACGGTTTTGAGGTCCAAGCCAGATTTCAGGGAGGCCTGTGCTTTCTTGTATAGTTCAAAGCGTTGCGTTCCGGGTTCAAACCTCTTTCTGGGGCGAAATGTCTTGTCTTTGTTAAACACTTGATTGAGGCACAGAGCCATAGCAGGTTTGGGAACCCACCATAAATGAGGATTAGGTAACAGTAGTGTTTGAAGTCTCTAGAAGAAAAATGGAGAAAAGAAAAGAATATTAAAAAGCTCCATGAAAAGAACTTGGGATCTATTTCCAGATAGCACAAGGTTCTACTGCATAGTTTTATAATCAATCAGGAGGACAGTTAACAGAACTAGAAGTTCAATGACACATTTACTTAAAAGGACTGGAAGATTTAAGCTATGAAGTCACGCTTACCAAACTGAGACTGTTTATCTTATGAGATGAGAACCCTCCTAGGTGTCAAAGTATTTGACGAGACTGTAATTCATGTTATTAGGAGACAAGGACAATCTTGTTAGAGTGGCACTGCAGAAACCATTTCTTGCAAAGGTTATGTTTTTTTTTCTCTTTGTTGCAACAAAACAAGATGCATTGCTATCTGATGTGATATTGCATAGATTATATCTGCCCACTATGACCTTGATTTTAATTGATCAGCACAAAGTCTTATTATAGTTTGGAAAATCTTTCTAACCATACTGAATTATTTGAAAAACTTATTAAACCAAGGCCTAAAATGGGAGTGTAACGAAGCTCCCTGTACCCCAACTGGGTACCTCCGCCAAAGGACTGCTTCCTAGCTGGAACAAGGGAAAGACCTCAGCGCTTCTACCCGCAGTCGCCGTGGCTTGACTGGGGTCTTGGAACCTCTCCATCCTGAAGCCAAATAGGGGACTAGCTCTATCCACTACACACAGTCCTGGGAGCTGGAGTCCTTACAAGGACTTTCCCCACTCAATTCTCCATGCTGGAACAAGTTGGAACAGTGAAGCAGGGGGTACAGCAGCCAGGTTTCCCCACCTGGAGGGTGGCAGGTCTGACACAGCCACCCAGCTTTCCTGCTCTGTGTCAATGTCCTGTTGCTGAACCAAGTCTAGCAGTTTGTCAGACTACAAGTTTGTACTCCCAGACCTATGTGTCGTCTAGTTACTGGGAGTGGAGAGGGCTAATCACTGTTCCAGCATGGAGGATTCAGTGGGGAAAGTCATTGTAAGGACTAGAGCTCCCATGACGGAGTGTCATCCGGTACCTGGGGGTGGATAGAGCTAGTCCCCTATTCGGCTCCAGGACAGTGAGGTTCCAGGACCCCAGTCAAGTCATGGCGACTGGGGGGCAGAAGCACTGAGGTTTTTCCCTTGTTCCAGCTAGGAAGCTGTCCTTTGGCGGAGGTACCAAGCCAGGGTACAGGGAGCTCAGTTACAGGGAAGTCCACAAAGTACTGAATGGGACAGTATACTGAAGAAAATGGGTAACTGACTACCTGGAACTTCACATGGTTTCTTGAGTGTTGCATTGTGATTGGATGGAATGAACAGCAGCCAATCACATTTTAGGAACTATCCAGTTAGATGTTTTTGTAGCAGATAAAAGCTACTTCCTGCAAATCCCTTTCTTAGTTAGCAGCATAAAGTGTTCCAGAATCTATGTGAATGGACTCTGTTTTCCTGTTACTTTGTTTCTGGACTTTTGGAATCTGATATAATAAAAAGAAGATTACACACATTACAAAATTTCTGAAACGATTATAACTGACCCAGAAATAATATCCTCTCTCTCACTAAGCATTGGTAGGTGAAAGGTCACCCCAGGTGAGAGTGTGCCAAGGACCCTCAAGGCTTGCACTGAAAGGTTAATGTTAGGAGTGTCTCGTAAAGAAAAACTCAAAATTTTAGATTTAGATATTTATTATTATATGAACACACGTTCCAGCCTGCCCGAGATTAGTAAATGTAAGAGCTTGCACCATTTCTGATTATAGATATGCCAAGAGAGATGCTGGGCAGACAGAGTGTGGTTCTCTCATGGCATTTCAGTAAACGAGGGAGAGGCTTAATTAACCCACATCACTCACCATTCTGGGTCTTTGCATATTTTCTAAAGACCCTGATGGTGTACAGAGTCGGTTTAAGGACAGCAACTGCGGTTTGGAAATAAGAACTCCCATCAATCCTGGGCAGGATGCTGTACAGGATTTATAAACCATGATCTGCCTGTTCCAAAAATAGGCAGATCATAAAACACAAATATACCATACTCATAACATGTATATACACGTGTGCATGTAATTGGACAGAAAAATCCCCTTTGGTCAAAAAATGATCAATCCCATTTAACCCCTTAAGCACCAAACTTCTGGAATAAAAGGGAATCATGACATGTCACATATGTCATGTGTCCTTAAGGGGTTAAAGGGCAAGCGTACAATAATTTAATTAGAAATAAAATATTATTGGTGGAATGTTAGGGCAATCCTGTAATTTATACATATTTCCAATATTTCACCCCCTCCTCCCCCTTTTAACAGGTACTTCTGGTAACCTTCATGTAGTCACTAGAAATTGCCAAATACAACAAACACTGAGGTTTTGTGTCCTTACAAACAAACTGTGTTTACCTAGTATATCTACAGATAACAAATACAATGTGCTTTTCTAACATCACATGATTTCCACAGCCCCATGCAGGCTATGTGTTAGCTGGGCATCATGGGATATGTAGTCCACAAACACCCATGGTGCCGAATGGCTTTATATATCTCTGTTATCTTACCTTCCCGTTACCCGCTGCCCTGCACCATGAAAGGGATTCTTTACTGTATGGAGAACAATGACAGAGAGCGTTAGCAGTTTGGGGATTACTAGACGGGTGGGGGAAATTACTGCTTCACGCAAGGAGTTCCCCAGATCTGTCTAATAAATTACCTACTGAGGGCTTCACGGGTATCCGTGGGTATTACCGAACAGATGGGAGTACGGCTTGCCTGCTCTTTCGTAAACCAAGGTTTGGTATTCTCTTGCGAAACATACACTTTGTCCTACGGTCTAAGCAGTGAGCACTCTGCAGGGCAGTCTCATTAACCCTTTCCGTGTAAGAAAGCACTGAGCAGTTCATATCATACTGTTTATTAACCCTTACGGATACATGGCCTTTTACTTCTGAAGTGGTGTCCAAAAGGGTTAAAAAAAATAAATCAAATGGGGCACACATATGAGGGAGAGAGAGATATATTATATTAACTGGTTGCTGGTTAAAGGGGAAATCTAAGCACCAGAAACACTGCAGATCATTGTAGTTGATGCTGTGCTATTAAGCCGCAAGTGCCATCTCTTGGTTCTTGATCAAACCGTTTGTATGTTCCCGGAGACACCCCTAGCCTGTAGTGCTTATGGTGCCACATTTTCCCTTTTAAATGAGTTGTCATACCATCCATGAAGTTCTGTGTTCTATTATACAAAGGTGATTCCCCTTTAATGATGAGATGGGCAGATTGGAAAATGGATTACAAAAAAAACTTAGCCAAAATAGGTAATATTGCGAGCTAAACTATAGAGATCCTGGATTTCTGTTATGTTAACATTTTTGGGCAAATCTGTTAGAACACCTCAAATCACTGTTTAGCAAATAGACCCTTAAAGGGTTACTCCAAGCATCATAACCAATACAGTCCCTGGTAGTTTTTATGATGCCAGGAGTATGGTAGCCCTATTTCCCAGTAAAGGGACTATCAGTTTAGCGCTGAGTTGTCCCTTAACTTGGGCCCACACCAAGCGACAACTATCCCTAGGAGTGGATTATCCCTTTAAACATTCACGTAGAAAGGCAGAGCTCCCAGACACAAATCCATTAATGTTTCAAAGTAAGAGGATGTGGCCACTCTACAATAAGTCGCCTGAGATGCTAAATATGGTATAGCTGGGGTCCATAACACCATAATTACTATTATTATTATTATTATTATTAATAATAATAATATTATTGCCATTTATATAGCGCCAACAGATTCCGTAGCATTTTACAATATTAGAAGAGGGGGATGTAACAATAAATAGGACAATTACAAGACAACTTACAGGAACAATAGGTTGAAGAGGACCCTGCTCAAACGAGCTTACAGCCTAAAGGAGGTGGGTTGTAAAACCCAATAGGACAGGAATTTGCAATCAAATAAGGATACAGGAAGCAGAGCTGGAGGAGAGAGTAGAGTGCTGCCCTTTAGGAGAGAGCAAGAGACAGGTATGTAAGGTTGAGGTTACTCTGGGAGGCCATAAGCTTTCCTAAAGAGATGGGTTTTAAGGCACTTCTTAAAAGATGCAAGACTAGGGGAGAGTCTGATTGCGGTAAGGAGGCTATTCCATAGGAAGGGAGCCGCCCGCGAGAAGAGCGGAGAGACTGAGAAGGGGCATACCTATGGATCTGTGAAGAGATATAAGAGGGGTTAGAATTGTTCAGTGCTTTATAGGTATGGGTTAGAAATTTGAATTGACTCATATAGGATACAGGAAGCCAATGGAAGGACTGACAGAGGGGAGATGTGTGAATAGAGACAGGAGAGGAAAATCAGTCTGGCGACAGCATTAATTACAGACTGTAGCGGGGCAATACGGCTTTTGGGAAGACCAATTAGGAGAGGGTTACATTCATCTATGCAGGAAATTACTAGACCATGGACAAGCTCCTTGGTATCATCTTGCGTAAGAAAGGGGCGGATGTGGGCTATGTTTTTAAGATGGAATCTACAGGACTTGGTAACATACTGGATGTGAGGCTCAAAGCTGAGGCCAGAATAAAGTATGACACCAAGACAGCGCGTTTGCAAGGATGGACTGATGTGGATACCACTAACTTGAAGGGAGAGCGAAAGAGGAGGATCAGTATTAGGAGGAAAGACAAGGAGCTCAGTTTTAGAGAGATTTAGTTTCAGAAAGCAGGAGGACATCCAGTCAGAGATGGAAGAAATGCAAGCAGGACACATTTCAGGATGGCACGGGAGAGGTCTGGGGAGAACATATATATCTGGGTGTCATCAGCGTTCAGGTTGTAGTGGAATCCAAAAGCAGTAATAAGTTTGCCAAGAGAGGCAGTATAAAGAGAAAATAGAAGGGGACCAAGGACAGGGCCTTGGGGGAATCCAACCAAGACAGGACGAAGGAAGGAGGTATCATTAGAAAAGGAGACACTGAATGAGCGTTGGGAGAGGTAAGAGGAAAGCCAAGAGAGGACAGAGTCACAGAGACAGAGTGATTGAAGAGTTTGAAGGAGAGTATGATCAACTGTGTCAAAGGCAGCAGAGAGGTCATGAAGAATCAGTATGGAGTAGTGGCCTTTGGATTTAGCTGCGATTAGGTCATTAGTAACTTTGATAAAAGCAGTCTCAGCAGAGTGTAGGGGGTGAAAGCCAGATTAAAGAGGGTAATGGGATGATAGAGGGGGAGTTTTTCAGGATAAGTACTACAGAGGCATGTTTAAGGTCAGCAGGAACAATGCCAAAAAAGAGCGAGCACTTGAAAATGTGTGTTAAGGAAGGCACAAGACAAGGGAAGAGAGATCTGATAAGGTGAGGCGGGACAGGATCAAGCAGGCAAGTGGTGGGGGTGAGAAGAAAGGAGAAGCACAGCCACCTCTTGTTTAGTAGCCGGGGAGAAAGTCTGAAGGGTAGTGTGGCAGAATCACTGCTTATTGGTGTGTTTCCCCTTGTATTTTGTGTATTGTGCCATGTTTTCCCATTTGGGATCGTTCATACGAACAGCACCCATTCATCTCCCGAACAAGGACAACCCCAGGACCCCATTAGAATGTTCACACCAATAACTTAAGTTATTGTTATAAGTGTGAAACCACAAGGGAAGTAATGGAGTGCTCCCCTGGGTGGCTGCCATTTCATACAGATGAACGGCAACCAGGGAGAGCATTCGTATCCTGAAAGGAAGGGATTCCCTTGCATGGTGTTCGCACAGGAACTTCACGAACGGAGACCGGTCAGGGAATGTACTTTTGTGGGGTTGTTGGGTTCTGAGTTTGATGGGGACACTTTTGGGATACTGTCTATTTTGGCAGGGTTTCTGTGCCTGAGAGGCAAAGAGGCCTTTTTGCCTTGCCTTGGCTCCCAATCACAGAGGATTTGGAGCCCTTGCCTGAGTGGCAGACTTTCTGTACCTGGGAGACAAAGAGACTAGAGCCTTTTCCCACACCTCGGCTCCCAGGCACAGAAAGTCCTGGGATGAAAACCCCTGTCTGCTTGTGTGAAAGACCCATTTCATGGGGTTATGCATAAACTCTGTGTGCGGCACAAAAAAAATCGTGTTGTACTCCCAGAGCTGTGTGTCGTCCAGTTACTGGGGGAATGGATGTCTGTATGCTTAAGGGTTCCAGAGTGGCAGAAGATAGGAATTAGCGGAGGTAAGCCCTGTAAGAAAACCCAGCATTTCCTAGACATTTTCGAACAGTATTTCATATGTTTTACCCAGATTTCGTTTGTTTGACCACCCCTGGCTATTTTCGTCAAGACGAATTGGCAATTGAAGATTCCTTCTGGGTTCCATCTTGTTCGCACGAAAGGAAGCAGCGGTGGTTAGTCATCGAGTGTCTGGAACTAAAATCGGATACACTCAACGCACCAACCCCCGGTCAACTTGTCAAACGCCTGCTTCCTTTTGTCGAAACAGCCAGGAGGGCGCTGTTCGGTAAGTTTGTTCCCAAGAACTAATGGAACAAACGCTGCCTAAGAGCCAGGGGGTCCGTTCGTGTTTTATTTCATTTTTATGTTTTGACGAACCAGACCGACCACACAGCCTCATTTCGTGGAACGCCTTATGGGATAACAGCCTTGTGTGCAGTCAAAATGTACCCTTCAGGAAACTTTCGTACCCCTAAACTGATCTGGGTGATTTTCGGATATGTTGGTCACCCAGATTAGGGCTATCAGGGAATATAACTTATGTATATGAGATATGTTTTTCTGCATGTTTTGGGGTACCTTAAAATATGATGTTTTTTCTGCCTGGGGATAATTGAGTTATTACAGTATCTGACCCAATTATTTCCCAAGCAGAGAGGAGGGACTGCCTAATGTATGTGGGAGTGTCATTCATTGTCATATTGTTTCTATTGGCTTGTACACTTTGTGTCCCTGTGCCCAACAAGGTCCACCTGGGTGTCACACTTGTTGGGAAAAATTGTATAAAAGTCAGTGTGGCACCAATAAACCTTTAGTCTTGTTACACCCTTCATCAAGTTTCGGCTGATGTTTGGGTACCTGGTTACTGCGTTGGGAGAATCTGCTGGGAAATCTGTACCTGATCAGGAGATGAACGGACACCCGAACTGCGAGCTATAATCAATCATGCTCATAGCAGTTCGGGTGAAGTCAGATGAACCGATCGCCACCACCTCAGGGTTCATTACAAGCCAGTCGGGTTACCCATGCTCCACTACAAGTAGGAAAGGCATGACCTACGTGTAATTCAGAAAGAGAAAGACAGGGTGGGGAGAATTCTTTCCTTAGTTGTTCAATCTTGTTGGTAAAGTAACATGCAAAGCTATCGGCTGTAAAGTTAGTTTGAGGAGTGGCCACAGCAGGGCAAAGAAGAGAGTTAAAGGTGTCAAAGAGACGCCTGGGATTTCGGGAGCATGAACTAATGAGAGAGGAAAAGTATGACTGTTTGGCAAGGGCAAGGGCTGCGCTGTACAAACATAATATGAATCTATATTGGAGAAGGTCTGACTGGGTGCAAGACTTCCTCCAGGAGCTTTCAGCACAACTGGAGCATCTTTGCAGATAGCATGTTGATTTAGTATGCCACTTTTGGGTTTTGGAGTAGTGTTATATGTGGAGATGGCTAGTGAGTGACAGGAGAGGGAAGGGATCAATATCAGCTGACAGCTGCTGGAGGTCAATAGAATTAAGGTTCCTCCTGAGTTGAGGGGGGTTAGGCTGAGGTTGTTGGGTAAGGGGGTATTCGAGAGCAAATGATAAGAGGTGGTGGTCAGAGAGGGGAATTGGAATGTTGGAGATATTAGACACTGTACATGCATAACAGAAAATTAGATTGAGAGTATTGTTGGGCTACATAGAATGTGACTGCAGATAAGAACCATTCAGCCCATCTAGTCTGTTCAATTTTCTAAATACTTTCATTAGTCCCTGGCCTTATCTTACAGTTAGGACAGCCTTATGCCTATCCCACACATTCTTAAACTCCCTCCCTGTGTTAACCTAAGCCTATTCTATGCATCCACTACCCTCTCAGTAAATGAATACTTCCTGATATTATTTTAAACCTTTGCCCCTCTAATTTAAGACTATGTCATCTTTTTGTGGTAGTTTTTCTTCTTTTAAATAGAGTCTCCTCCTTTACTGTGTTGATTCCCTTTATATATTTAAATGTTTCTATCATATCCCCCCTGTCTCGTCTTTCCTCCAAGCTATACATGTTAAGATCCTTTAACCTTGTAAGTTTTATCCTGCAATCCATGAACCAGTTTAGCATCCCTTCTCTGAATCTCTAAAGCAAGCATGTGAAACTCGCAGGCCACGGGCCGCATGCGGCCGACAAGGATCATCTTTGCAGCCCAGCGAACCGTGAGTGCATGCTGGTGTTATAGCAGAGTAGGCACCTGCTTTACCCACATTGCAGGTGCCTACTCTGCTAACACTTACCCGGCCGGGGAGGAGGGCCACGAGGGAGCTCAGCCTTCCAACACCTCACCGCTCCATCGCGCGCGCCAAATGAAGTGTAGCCGGGCGCCGGAATATGACGTCATATTCCGGCATCACTAAACCGCGTGAGAAAGCAGTCTTCAGTACTGCGTACAATACTCCAAGTGAGGTCTCACCAGTTTTCTGTACAATGGCATGAGCACTTCCTTCTTTCTACTGCTAATACCTCTCCCTATACAACCAAGCATTCTGCTAGCATTTCCTGCTGCTCTATTACATTGTCTGCCTACCTTTAAGTAACCGGATATAATCACCCCTAAATCCCTTTCCTCATCTGTTGAGGTTAGGACTCTATCAAATATTCTGTACTCTGCCCTTGGGTTTTTACATCCAAGATGCATTATCTTGCACTTATTGTATTAAATGTCAGTTGCCACAGCTCTGACAGTTTTTCAAATATGCTCCATTGACTACAACCCTCTGTTGCCTGTCACTCAGTCACTGCCTTACCCATTCAGCAATATTGTAATCCACACTTAAAGATTGCAGTTTATTGATAAGCCTTCTATGTGCAACAGTGTCAAAAGCCTTACTTAAATCTAGGTAAGCAATGTCTACTGCTCCACCATGATCTATTATTTTAGTCACCCAATCAAAAAAAAAAAATCAAGAAGATTAGTTTGGCATGATCTCCCTGAAGTAAACCCATGTTGTCTCTGATCTTAAAATCCATGTGATTTTAGATGTTCAACAACCCTATCTTAACATGATTTCGATTACTTTCACCACTACTGAAGTAAGGTTTACTGGCCTATAGTTGCCCGACTTCTCCCTACTACCTTTCTTGTGAATGGGCACAACATTCGCTAACTTCCAATCTTCTGTGACTACTCCTGTTAACAATGATTGGTTAAATAAATCTGTTAATGGTTTTGCTAGTACACCATTAAGCTCTTTTAAAGGGACACTCCAGGCACCCAGACCACTTCTGCCCATTGGAGTGGTCTGGGTGCCAACTCCCACTACTCTTAACCCTGCAAGTGTAATTATTGCAGTTTTTTATAAACTGCAATAATTACATTGCAGGGTTAACTCCACCTCTAGTGGCTGTCTACTAGACAGCCACATGAGGGCACTTCCTGATTCATAGCAAAGATTTTCTTTGCTAGAGCGTCGCTGGACGTCCTCACGCTGTATGAGGACCTCCAGCATCGCTCAATACCCCATAGGAAAGCATTGAAAATCATGCGCATTAGGTTTCCTCAGCCGGCGGGCGGGATCAGTCTCGCCCACCGGCTGACATAATTACTGGGAGGAGCAACGCCGACCCGAAACCACCACCGAGGGACATCAGCGGGGTCTCAGGTAAGTGACCTGAAGGGGTTTTCACCCCTTCAGCAACCAGGGATGGGGGATGGGAGGGAGAGGGTACCTGCAGTGCCAGAAAAACGGATTGTTTTCCTGGCACTGGAGTTTCACTTTAATAACATAGGGTGTATTCCATCAGGTCCCATTGACTTATTTGTCTTTACTTTTGACAGTTGAAATAGAACCTCTTCCTCTGTAAACTCACATGTAAAAAATTACTCATTTGTCCTTTTTCCTAAGTGAGGCCCCTTTCCTTCATTTTCATCTGTAAATACAGAACTAAAATATTTTAATTTTTTTTACTATTTTGGCCACACCTGCGGAGTACCACAGTGGTTTCTTGAATTTTTTGCTTTTACTGATAAGCCTAATGCAGTTTTCCATTCCAAACAGAGCCACCATGAGAAATGAAGCCAAGTCCTTGCTCCCTACACCATTCACCAAGCCACAAGTAAAAGTCCCTAATACACATCAGCCTGTCGTTCTGAGTGGTATGCACAGGCAGAATTAGAGTGTGGAAGCAACCTGCTGTATATCATTCGCAAAAACACAAAAAACTGAAACCCCATTGCAAGCCAAGTCATTTGTCCCTAGATGGACAAGTACATCCAATTCCCCTTCCTGCTTTGCGCGCTTAACAATAACACAATTACTTCTCCAGTCTCTGTGAGCAGTAGCTCCGGGAAGACATCTCACAAGACCACTATTGTCCAGGGGAGAGGATGATGGAGGCACCCATTGTTATTCTACCAATATTGTAAATGGCTTCACCTTGGATTTAACCTATTCTTTTTAATGCACTACAACAGTGGTAGCATACCCTCAGCACTTCAGTCCTTGTGGACTACATCTCCCACGATGCTTTGGCAGAAAGCATGAGCTACAACATTGTCTACAACAGAGCCAAATGTTGCCAACCCTCGCATTATAGAGAGAGTAATAATATGCAAAAATAATATATAAAAAATAATAAAAACGAAAATTTCCGGCAAAACTCCACCCTTTGCAGAATTTACAAGGAACTCACGGCAAACAAGGAAGTGACTGATTATAAAATTTCCATAGGACTTCCTATAGGCAGGGGTTTATGGAAATGGCAAGAGGTTCTGAAAGTTACAGTACAACTGTCAGCCTATCCTTAAAGTCACCAGCTACTATAACTACTTCTCCAGAAACCCACGTCATGACACCATGTACATCAGTGCGTTTTGAAACAAAAAGAGCAATCTGTGAATAGAATAGAAACCATATGCTTATAGCGCAAAACTAGATAGAAATAAAATTAAATAAAAATTCTGGAAAGAGGGGTGGAGCTCCCAGCATATCTACCTGCAGCCTAACTTACATACAGTAATTGGTGTTTTGAGTGTCCCTTTAAGAAAAGGTGTACTGGGAAAGCACCAAATGTAGCCATGACGCAGTTTAAACCTGCTGTTTAGCACTTTCCTGAACAGTGTGATGCTTTTGTGAATGCATCCTTCCCCTCTGCCGAATGTAGCACCCAAACGGCTGCAGGTTTTGGAATAGCGCTCAGGAAATCCTCATAATTACATATTGTATTGTGTCCTTTTAATAGATTGCCAGACCTGAAAAGCCAGATTGTTAGATGTGTGAAGTTTCTAAACATTATAGTATTATGTAAAAATCTCAAGCCCATAAAATCGTGTGAACACAATGAGAAATTAATGTGAATGGGATTGCAAGTTTCATGCCAGCGCTGGCCATTTTCTGCCATTAGTGATATAGCAAGTAACCAGGAAATGGAATGTTGTGAAACATTATGCTACAACGTTACATAGTCAATTAAATAAGTGCAAAACACAAGATAGTGTGTAACATTAGAAATAAAAAGGGGGGAAAAAAAACCTTTTAGTCTCATATAGTAATATATACACTGCTCAAAAAAAATAAAGGGAACACAAAAATAACACATCCTAGATCTGAATGAATTAAATATTCTTCTGAAATATTTTGTTCTTTACATAGTTGAATGTGCTGACAACAAAATCACACAAAAATTACCCATGGAGGTCTGGATTTGGAGTCACACTCAAAATTAAAGTGGAAAAGCACACTACAGGCTGATCCAACTTTGATGTAATGTCCTTAAAACAAGTCATCAATGCCTTCATCTTGCAGGAACTGCTCACACTCCAGCCACATGAGGTCTAGCATTGTCTTGCATTAGGAGGAACCCAGGGCCAACCGCACCAGCATATGGTCTCACAAGGGGTCTGAGGATCTCATCTCGGTACCTAATGGCAGTCAGGCTACCTCTGGAGAGCACATGGAGGGCTGTGCGGCTCCCCCCCAATAAATGCCACCCCACACCATTACTGACCCACTGCCAAACCGGTCATGCTGGAGGATGTTGCAGGCAGCAGAACGTTCTCCACGGTATCTCCAGACTGTCACATGTGCTCAGTGTGAACCTGCTTTCATCTGTGAAGAGCACAGGGCGCCAGTGGCGAATTTGCCAATCTTGGTGTTCTCTGGCAAATGCCAAACGTCCTGCACGGTGTTGGGCTGTAAGCACAACCCCCACCTCTGGATGTCGGGCCCTCATACCACCCTCATGGAGTCTGTTTCTGACCGTTTGAGCAGACAATGCACATTTGTGGTCTGCTGGAGGTCATTTTGTAGGGCTCTGGCATTGCTCCTCCCGTTCCTCCTTGCACAAAGGCGGAGGTAGCGGTCCTGCTGCTGGGTTGTTGCTCTCCTATGGCCTCCTCCACGTTTCCTGATGTACTGGCCTGTCTCCTGGTAGCGCCTCCATGCTCTGGACACTACGCTGACAGACACAGCAAACCTTCTTGCCACAGCTTGCATTGATGTGCCATCCTGGATGAACTGCACTGCCTGAGCCACTTGTGTGGGTTGTAGACTCCGTCTCATGCTACCACTAGAGTGAAAGCACCGCCAGCATTCAAAAGTGACCAAAACATCAGCCAGGCAGCATAGGAACTGAGAAGTGGTCTGTGGTCACCACCTGCAGAACCACTCTTGCTAATTGCCTATAATTTCCACCTGTTGTCTATCCCATTTGCACAACAGCATGTGAAATTGATTGTCACTCAGTGTTGCTTCCTAAGTGGACAGTTTGATTTCACAGAAGTGTGACTGACTTGGAGTTACATTGTGTTGTTTAAGTGTTCCCTTTATTTTTTTGAGCAGTATATATGTATATAAAGACAGTTTGGCCTGTATTTGTGGGAGGGGCTTAAGTTAATTCACTCCCCTTTATAAGGGACACCCCTTACCTGACTCCATATCGCTTGAGGTCAGCATTAGAATGATTTCCACTTTCGGGTCATCCAGACGCCATTTTATCTGATTACTCCATGAAGTTTTCTAAGCTGAGCTGTGTCAGGAATTCAGCCACAGGCTTTTCTGGCCTACCACCTTCTTTCTTCAATCCATCGCCGAGGATGGTGTCCAAGTAACTCACAAACCGTAAGTCGACCTACCAGTTACAATTTTCTAAACATACTAGGCAATTCTGTGCGTGCATTTCGAATCTCACTGCTCGTTTCGTTTTGTTTCCCTGACACACCAGGCTCACGGTTCGTGCAATTTTCTACCAAACGGGTACTAGTTCATGCATTTACTATTGTACTACACACATTTCGTGCGTTTACAACCCACGAACAGAACTTTGGTTTGTTACAATGACTTATTAAGCTATTATGTTCACATAATGTATATTGTCAAACGGGCACTGTTCGTTTCCCTGTCATACAACTATAATGCTGGGGCATAGCTCACGAACAATGTTTCACATAAACCCATTGACCCCTACAGGTCACTCTCAAAATCTCACGTTAACCTTGCATTTGGATTAAAGGGTATTTTTACCATACAATCAGCATTTCTGACCCCTACTGGTCAACAGCAAAACGGTCTTCATATGTCATATACAATTTACCAGCCAATATAAATTACACATATGATGGTTTTAAACATAACCATAAACCATAAATTAAACTCCAGCACGGGCTCAACTTCAGGTTTAATTCACAATAATTTACATTTCACATCAAGACCAATAGTGGTTCTATCAACACTGCCACCTACAGGTCTGTCAAGTACATTGACAATTTTCATGGGGTTTTACAAACACCAAAACACTGACCCCTATAGGTCAACAGACAAACAACATTTCACATCCCAATCAGTATCCAACTACACTGCCACCTATAGGGCACTTGGCAGATCTCCAGTGCACTTGCATTTTGCAACACCATGTTCACTGACCCCTACCATTCAATAAGACATACAACAATTCACATAGCAAGTAGTATATCAACATCTGGTATAAATACATATATTATTACACAGTAGCAGACGCATCTGTATACACGTAACTGGTAATATAGTTCACATACATTTTTCACAGCACGCTGCTCACACAACAGACTTTCCCCTAGCAAGGGGACATAAAACATACAAGGTGGGGACAGACCACTTTATAACTTGTACACACTTAATGGGTTAAGATTGATACATATTTAACCAGTATGGCTACGATGTTTAATATTTACACATCACTTTACTTTTCACATATACTATATGTATTAAGATAAGCTTGGTCTATGCCATATTTCCTTATGCCATACGGTTTTATCCATTCAGGTTACAGTTACTACTAAAAAAAACCTATACAGGTTGTCAGGTTCAATACCATACTACCAGGTACATACGCCTGCTCACGTAGTTATCCATCTCTTACCTTCCCTGGAATAATAATAGTGTACTGGCAATTAGGGTTTTAGGGCCCAATAGGTATTACCCCCTTTTTTCTCTGCATTACGCTTCAGTTAGTGGTCCTGCGAGGCCAACACCCTGCCTCACACTCTGAGGCATACACCCCTCAGGCCACTTGTGAGCTAGCCGTCTCGCATTGTATCATAGAGAGAGCCTGACCTGTCACTTCCCTTCCTATTTTTCTGGTTACTGTCACCGAGAGGCCAACATCCTGCCACAACGTTCGGTGGCCACACAAAATCCCCTTGCGCCAAGCATAGATAGAGCCTCTCAAGCCACTTGGCAACTAGCAGGGCCTCCCTAGTCACCAAAAAACACCAAGACTAATCATTTCGCCTTACGGCTTAGCTAGCAAGCCAGTACAAGACCCCTGGGTACAAATAATAATTGCAATCTTTATTGTTATTTAAGAATTTCTCAAATAGATAGGAATCACCTTCTTAGCACCCCGGCTAGAATTGATACACCTTCAAGCAGAGGAGATGTTGCTAGTCCAGCAGCAATCAGATCCTGGACGATCCCACACATTACCACCGACCTAAGGAGGTGACAAATCCCCTACCCTGCCACAGCAAGGAAAGCAGAATTATTCAAACTCCTCCATACATCAACGGACAACACGGAGGCAGGGGAAGGCCCAGCAACACCAACTCACTCAAACTCATGAGCCAAAAAATTTACGACAGACTGGCAATCTTGAGTCGGTCACCATAGCCCTCACAAGGCTGGGCCTCACGCTACTGTACAACCAGCACCAACCGAAACTCTGTTAGCTGGTACAATCAGTTCTTATGACACACACGTATGATCCCAGCACATTGGGGAAACAAGGCATATATATGTATGATGATGATGTATCTGTGATGGTCAGATCCAGGGATTCCAGGTAAATCGGAAACTGACCATCCTTTGGTTGGGTTGGCATATGTAGAGATGTTTATTTGTGCAGGTACCCATACAGAAGGGATTTTGTCCCAAACAAATGGACGAGCACTCTCAGGCTCCAGGTACCATCACCTCTGAACTACCAGAGACAATTGATATGAGTAGTTGCATTGCATATAGACTGTTGCATATATGTTCAAATGGTTCAGGGCACATGACAAACCATGTGTCCCAATACAACTTACAAATAACGTACACACCAATGCATTTTCAACACTACTGACTCATCACCCTTCCAGACTTGTAGTAGATTTACTAAAGCTCTGGAGCTTCAAAGGGCTCCCATACAGGTATGATAAATACACCTTCAAGGAATATAGCATGCCCTCACTTACAATCAGCACAACAGAACCATCGGCTGTAAACACACTCATAGCCAAGATTTGCAGAGGGGTTTTCCAATCTCCACCAATTACAGCATGGCGCCAAACACAAACACATTGGTATTGTCACAAGAAAATCTTCCCTTAAACAAAGACTAACCATAGACTTATTGGCACCACACACCTTCGCTACCCCAAGTCTCAACTCCCTCATACCTTCCAAGGAGTTTCCTTACTATACAACACCATTGATCTACCTTTACAGCTATCACTCAAGCATGGGTTGAAGCTTGGTTAAGTAAGACTAATATCATCAACGCAGTAAACGGCTAACATCTACCCTACACACTGGCACTTACATGGCATAAAATGGGCAATCCTTTCCCCGCTCAACTTTCGGGCTACAGATTAGCCTACTATCGATATTCGCAGATGCTCTGTGCTGGTTATGATAACATATCCAGAGGCCTTACAGTCATACACTATCTAGAAGACTTCTTGTTGATCAAAGATAACATTTTTCACTAGAAGCCTCACGGCAGCTTAGTCTGGTTGACCACTTGGGCGTCCCAGTACCCCATAAGTGTCAGGGTACCTGTTGGTGATGTATCCAGGGAGGACATCCTCTCTGCTTAGGGGCTCCCTGCCCCTAGCATTTCGGCATATTCCGGCCGTTTTCGCGCCGGCCGCGCTAGCTCCTCCCCCTTTTATGACGCGACGGCTAGCGTCGACGTCATGACGTCGGCATTTGCATAAAGTGCCGGGAACCGCTATTCCGGACCTTTTGGGGGCGTGGTCTCTATTTAGGTAACAGGGTATTTAAAGGAAACCTTTACTACTGCTCATTGCCCTGTCGTGGTTCTAGCTTGCTAGTCACTCAGCGCGTTCTTTATCTTGTGTTTCCGGTTTTGACCCTTGCTTGTCTTTTGTCCTGTTGTCCTCTCCTCTCCTTTGACTCGGCTTGTATCTCGCTTACCTGTCCTCCGGCTCCCTTGACCTCGGCTTACCTTTTGACTATTCTTGCTTTGTCCTTACGTTAGTCCGGCCATTCTAAGGTCCGGTATACGTACCTCCTTCTGTGCGCACTCTGCGTATTGGATCCCTGTCACTTTCCTGACATTACGACAGGGCCAGATGGATCCTGCAGGTGCTAGTCCTCCTGACTCCAGATTTGAGGCCATGGACCATAGAATGGACCAAATGGCTTTAGCGTTACAAACTTTGTTAACACGCTCCAGTACCCAGTCTGAAGAAATACGTTCCACTGCTAGCCAATCGCTAAGTACTGGTTTGGAAGTAGCCACTGTAGGCGCATCTTCCCATGTCACGTCACCATTACGATATGGGGGTTCGCCTGATGCTTGTCGTGGTTTTTTAAACCAGATAAGCATACATTTCGAACTACAACCCCGGGCTTACCCCACTGACAGGGCTAAGGTAGGCTTTATTATAACCCTGCTAATAGATACAGCACTTAGATGGGCCAATCCCCTTTGGGAGAATGACAATCCTTTAGTCTACAACTACACTGCGTTTGTCACGGCTTTTAGAAGAACCTTTGACCCCCAGGGAGGAAGATTAATGCGGCCAGATCCCTGTTACGCCTTAAACAACAAGATAGGACCCTTGTAGAATATGCTCTAGAGTTTAGATCATTGGCAGCAGAAGTGAAATGGAACGAACAAGCTTTTATGGATGTTTTCTTGAATGGATTGTCTGATGAAATTCTAGATGAAATTGCCACAAGAGAACTTCCGGAAAATTTAGAGGATTTAGTATCCTTCATTTCCAGAATAGATGAACGCATGAGACAGAGGCAGAACACTCGGGAAAGAGTTACTAGACTTCCTGTAAGACTCGCTCCCTCATTTCAGAACCCTGACTCCTATAATCCTACTCCACCAGAACCTATGCAAATAGGTAATACTCGCTTATCTGAGGCTGAGAGACAGTACAGAAGAAGGGAGGGTCTCTGTTTATACTGCGGGCGGAGAGGTCACCTACGTCTTAGTTGCCCTAATCGTCCGGGAAACGCTCGCACCTAAGTTCCCTTAGAGGACGGGCCTTGGGTGTTTCATTACTGTCCTCTATGCATAATAAAAAAGACCATAGGCTTCTGATTCCTGTCTCTCTAGCTTGGGAAAAGGGGTTTATTACTACGATGGCATTATTAGATTCTGGAGCAGCAGAAAGTTTTATAGACCAAACTTTCGCTAATAAGCATTGTATCCCATTCCAATTGAGAGATACACCCTTGGCCGTTGAGGCCATAGATGGTAGACCTTTATCTGAACCAGTAATATTCCATGAGACCGAACCCGTTAAGCTTACTGTTGGTATTTTCCACGAGGAGTTGATTTCCCTTCTGTTAATTTCCTCCCCGGCAGTCCCAGTGGTACTAGGATATTCTTGGCTCAAGAGACACAACCCTCAGATTGACTGGGAGGGTGGAGAAATCATTTCTTGGGGTATGGGTTGTAGGAAAGAATGTCTGCAGAGAGTTACTTCTGTTTGCCCCGTAAACTCTTATGTTAACACTTCTCAATCCACAGACGTTCAGATACCATTACAATATCTAGACCTCAAATCTGTATTTGACAAGGGTAAGGCAGATACTTTACCTCCCCACCGGTCTTATGACTGTTCTATTAAACTTTTCCCTGGTACTATGCCTCCCAGGGGTACGGTATACCCTCTATCCACCAAGGAAAACTTAGTTTTAGAGGAATATATCAAGGAGAATTTAGACAAAGGATTTATTAGAAAGTCTTCTTCTCCAGCGGGGGCGGGTTTCTTTTTTGTAGAAAAGAAAGACGGTACCTTACGTCCTTGTATAGACTATCGGGGATTGAACAAAATTACTATCAGAAATGCTTACCCTATTCCTTTGATTACTGAACTCTTTGACAGACTAAGGGGCTCGAGTATTTTTACCAAACTTGACTTAAGAGGAGCATATAACTTAGTGCGAATTAAACAAGGAGATGAATGGATGACAGCATTTAATACCCGTTACGGGCATTATGAGTATACCGTAATGCCGTTTGGGCTTTGTAACGCCCCGGCCGTCTTCCAAGACTTGATCAATGAAGTTCTTAGAGAATTCCAACATGAATGTGTAATTGTATATTTGGATGATATACTAATCCATTCTAGAGACATTAATTCACATCATAGACAAGTCAGAAAGGTATTACAGAAACTTTTACAACATGGATTGTATTGTAAATTGGAAAAATGTAGCTTTGACCAGTCTCAGGTAACTTTCTTAGGTTACGTAATTTCCAAAGACGGGTTTATGATGGACCCGACCAAACTAAAATCGATTTTAGATTGGCCTTTACCTAAGGGACTCAAAGCCATACAAAGATTTCTTGGATTTTCTAATTATTACAGACGTTTTATTAAAGGGTACTCCTCTGTTATCGCTCCTATCACTAATATGACCAAACAAGGAGCCGATACCAAAACCTGGTCTACTGAGGCTTTATCTGCTTTCGAAACGCTCAAACAGTCTTTTGCCTCAGCACCTGTATTAGTTCATCCTGATACCTCTCTACCCTTTTTACTTGAAGTTGATGCGTCTGAAACAGGGATAGGCGCAGTGTTATCCCAAAGACAAAGTTTAGATAAGCCGCTGCACCCTTGCGGTTTTTTTTCCAAGAAACTATCACACACTGAAAGGAGATATGACATTGGTGATAGAGAACTTCTAGCTATCATTATGGCATTAAAGGAATGGAGACATTTGTTAGAGGGCACCGTCCTCCCAGTTACTATCTTGACTGACCACAAAAATTTATCGTATATGGGGGAGGCCAAAAGATTATCTGCCAGGCAGGCACGTTGGTCTATGTTCCTTACACACTTTAATTATGTGCTTACTTACAGGCCTGGTTCTAAGAACACTAAGGCAGACGCTTTGTCACGTCAGCACGAACCTACCACCTCTACAGAGGATACTTTGTTCCCTATTATTCCTGAAGTCAATATTATCGCCAACACCAATGTCAAAATACACTCTCCATTGCTCGCTGATATTATGAACGAACAATCTCTTGCTCCCGAACGTACTCCTGTGGGCCGCTTGTTCGTGTCTCCCAAATTCCAAGTGGACATTATTCGCTGTTTTCACGATAGCAAGTTCGCTGGTCACCCCGGCATCCACAAAACTTACTGCCTGATCTCCAAAGACTTCTGGTGGCCCGGTTTACGTAGGGATGTGGAAGACTTTGTCAAGGCTTGCAATGTTTGTGTCAGGAATAAACTTCCGCGGGATCTCCCTTGTGGTTTATTGCAGCCCTTAGTCGTTCCCAACAAACCTTGGGCTTGTTTGGCTATGGATTTTATTGTTGATCTACCAGCTTCCAATAGGCATACAGTTATCCTCACGGTCCTTGACAGGTTTACTAAAATGGCTCATTCCGTTCCCTTGCCTAAACTTCCGTCCTCCCCCGAACTGGCCGTGATATTTGCTAGAGAAATTTTCCGTTTACATGGTATTCCTAATGAGATTGTGTCAGACAGGGGTTCCCAATTTATTTCCCGTTTTTGGAGATCCTTCTGTTCACAGTTGGGCATCAAACTGAATTTTTCTTCGGCCTATCATCCTCAATCTAACGGAGCAGCCGAACGCACTAACCAAAAAATTGAGCAATATCTACGTTGTTTTGTTTCTGAACACCAGGATGACTGGGTCGGTCTGATTCCTTGGGCGGAGTTTGCTCACAACAACCTTGTTTGTGGTTCCACTCGTAATAGCCCCTTTTTCTTGAACTATGGCTTTAACCCTACTGTTCTTCCGTCGGTGTCTCCTTCCCAGGGTATACCGTCGGTTGATATTCATATAGCCAACCTGAGAAAGTTGTGGGATCAGACTCGACAAATTCTTGAACGTAGTTCCGCGGTGTTTAAGTCACATGCTGATAGGCGTAGGCGTCCTGCTCCTATTTTTTCTCCGGGGATAGGGTCTGGTTGTGTACCAGACACATTCGCCTGAAAGTTCCTTCCTTGAAGTTTGCTCCTCGTTACATTGGTCCTTACAGGGTACTGAGGAGGATCAACCCGGTTTCTTATTTGCTGGATCTACCTCCTACTCTACGCATCCCTAACTCTTTTCATGTGTCGTTATTGAAACCTCTTGTTTGTAACAGATTTTCCTCCCGCTCTGCTCCTCCATCCTCGGTCCGTGTGGATGGTCAGGAGGAATATATCATCAAGTCCATCCTTGATTCTCGTATTTCTAGGGGGAAGCTGCAATACCTCATAGACTGGAAAGGTTATGGTCCAGAAGAGAGGTCTTGGGTTCCTGTATAGACGTGCATGCTCCTCGTCTTCTTCGGGCCTTCCACGTTCGTTTTCCCTCTAAGCCCGGTCCCATCCGCCCGGTGGGCGTTTCTAGAAGGGGGGGTACTGTCAGGGTACCTGTTGGTGATGTATCCAGGGAGGACATCCTCTCTGCTTAGGGGCTCCCTTCCCCTAGCATTTCGGCATATTTCGGCCGTTTTCGCGCCGGCCGCGCTAGCTCCTCCCCCTTTTATGACGCGACGGCTAGCGTCGACGTCATGACGTCGGCATTTGCATAAAGTGCCGGGAACCGCTATTCCGGACCTTTTGGGGGCGTGGTCTCCATTTAGGTAACAGGGTATTTAAAGGAAACCTTTACTACTGCTCATTGCCCTGTCGTGGTTCTAGCTTGCTAGTCACTCAGCGCGTTCTTTATCTTGTGTTTCCGGTTTTGACCCTTGCTTGTCTTTTGTCCTGTTGTTCTCTCCTCTCCTTTGACTCGGCTTGTATCTCGCTTACCTGTCCTCCGGCTCCCTTGACCTCGGCTTACCTTTTGACTATTCTTGCTTTGTCCTTACGTTAGTCCGGCCATTCTAAGGTCCGGTATACGTACCTCCTTCTGTGCGCACTCTGCGTATTGGATCCCTGTCACTTTCCTGACAATAAGAAACAGAAGGCCCAGACACTATCATAACATTACTGGGCATCCGACTTGAGTCGGCATCCATACACGCAAGTTACCACAAGACAAATAGGGAACATTCTCAACTACATCAATCACTACCTCCTGCTTAGTACTTACAACCGCAAGGAACTACAATCCCTACCAGGTTCCTTAATTTTGGCATGCCAATCATACCACAAGGCCACGCTTTCACATCCAGAGTACTTTCCCCTTTTTTTCCCCACACTTCCAACATGACGATCAGAGGATGTCCCTAGTCACCCCAGCAACAGCAGACCTGCACATTTCTTAACCACTTGGCATGGTAAAAGCACGTTCCTTCCAAGATTGTCTGACGCGGCATCTACCGCAGGTTTGGAAGCGATCTACCAGGAACGATTGCTTTGGAGCTGTTGGCCATGGCATCCAGGTTTGGAAATTTTTCCACCACCTCAGCCCCTTTGGGGGATCTACCCCATTGTAGCAGCTGCTGTAGCATGGGGTAAATCATGGTCAGGGTCATCAATCCGTTGTTACTCAGACAACTAAGCACGTCATATCATCAACAAATGCCACTCATCATCCATAAGATCATGATATTTCTGGGGAACTCACTTGGTTGGCCACTTATCACATTTCTTTTACTTTCATGTACCAGGCGAGGTATACATCCCTGCCGACAATTGTCTCATTTATATTCCAGGCATGTTCATCATACGCTTCCTACGGCCGCCCATACAGTCACGGCCACTTTTTTGTTCCAGAGACAAAATCATGGATTAGACATATTCAAAAATCATAGCATGCACTATCCCACCTAGCACTTTCGTCCCATACTTGTAGAACGCATAACACAGCTTTTCACCTGGCTTAAAGAATGTCGTTGGAACACGACATAGCTCAACCTGTGTCATAACATTTCTCCTAGGTTTTGCTTCTTTTTGCCACCTTAAACTAAAACCATCTCACACACCATTAATTATATATTTTACAGGCATTCAACAACACAGGATAACCTATGGCCAAAACTACCATGACTTCATGCTATCAAACCAGACAAGAATATACTCAGAGGTTTTCAGGAATCCATTCCCCCACGTTCCTCTCAGAGATTACCAAATAGCCATCCAACTTTTCCATCCTTATCGGACCTATTAGATCTACAACCATTCAATTATATTAACAAGTCGGCCATTACCAGCCATGCACTGCCTTCAATGCCTTTCTCAGGCCAGAGAATCCACTACCATAACCACCACTCAGACAGATCATTGTCTTCAACGATCCCACGTACATTAACACATATATCATTACCTATTGGCTCTACCACATTCCGATATGAGTCAACACGCACCAACAGTAGAGATAACATACTATCCTACCCACAACAAATGGTGTCCACTTGCGGTCCTAGATTCCTACCTTTAAAATCCTTCCAGGAATTAAATACTGTAATGCATTTAAGGAAATGTCTGGTTAATTTGTATATATTTGTTGACTGTATTAAATCTTTGATTATTAATTTTTGCCCTCTTTATTTACAGGCTTACCGTATTGTCGGTCTCGGCACACCACAACCGACCTGCTCCCTTTATACTATCCTACACTTATGCTGGAACCTTACTCCATATACGGCTATTTGCCCCTTACACAAGAATTAAGGCCGATTGGCCTGTATATGTGGGAGGGGCTAAAATTAATTCACTCCCCTATATAAGGGACAACCCCTTACCTGACTCCATACCGCTTGAGGTCAGCATCAGAATGACCCTCCCACCCACTCCTCATTTCAACACTTTCTCTTTACTTTCTTACTCCTTGGTGGGCCCTCTTTATTTACATGCTTACCGTATCGTCGGTCTCGGCACACCACAACCGACTTGCTCCCTTTATACTATCCTACGCTTATGCTGGAACCTTACTCCATATACGGCTATTTGCCCCTTACTCAAAAATATAAATATATATATATATATATATATATATATATATATATATTTTTTTTTACATACATGTAACAGGTTAATGAATAACATCTAATAATGTGCGCCGTTATTCAACTTTGAAAATTATCCTTAACGGGACCTGCCAAGCTCCATAACCATTTCAGCTTGTTGCTGTGGTTACAGTGCAAGGATTCTATGGGTGAAGTAAATCAGTTTTTTTTGTCAAATGATTAAAATGGAAAAAAGTAAAGATTTAGATTTTCACTACACCTCAAGCCCACTTATTCAGCTTGGGACATCATATATGAAAGCTTTGCCTGGTCAATTTATCATTAGCAAAAGGGTTAAGGGTGATTTGGCCAATATTTTGGATCCAGAATGGGGAAATCAAAACTTTGTCATGATGTTACAGGCTGAGGGCTTTGGGTGTTCAAAATCCTCGGTTATCTGTCATGCTAATTAAGACTAGTGTGACAAAACAAATAAAATGGAGTGATTGAACTCACCATAGGCACTGCTGTAAGATAAGAGGGGTCAATTTAATGGAGTATGCTAAACATGATTAATTACACAACTTCAGCTTAGTGAAGTGGTGTTCGTGTATAGATCATGTCCCTGCAGTCTCACTGCTCAGTTCTCTGCCATTTGGGAATTAAATCACTTTCAAATCTGTTTATACAGCCATAGCTACACCTCCCCTGGCTGTGACTCACACTCAGTCAACATGAAAAAAATTGTTTCATTCGGATCTTACAGCACAGTGTGTTTACTTTAGATGTGTTTTATCTCCTGCTCGGTTTATTGAACTTTAGTCACACACATGAGTCTCCTATAGGCTGCAGCAGGCTATTAACAGAGCAGGAGAGAAGAAATTCTAAATTAAACACATTGTGCAATAAAGAAAGCTAAAACATGTAGACTCCTTTTCAGAAAGTGTGTAGGGAAGCAGTATAAGCTGTTTTGGTGCTTGGCGTGTTCTCTTAAGTCCACAGTTCTGTGTCCTGGTTGCAGTTCAGATCAGAATGAGTCTTTCTGGAGTATGAATGGAACAGTTGCATCGAGATAACAGCTCCTTTGGAGAATGTGAAAGCTATGTCTGGAAGACATCAACAGGCATTTAACTAACTAATTCTTGAGTTTTTATCATTGTAGGTGCTCTTCAGGTCTCCAGACTTCAATCGCTCAGCTCAGAGAATATTAGAATCAGGCACATCACTTGGAGATCATTGGATGTAAATGAGGTATTTAACTTAGCTTGCAAAATATGTGTACAGCCTTGTGTAAATGGACCAAAGAAGAGTGTAGTATGTAGATCCATATGGTTCAAGGACAAGTTCATAGGATTGACAAAAAGAGAAAACAAATACTAACAGTATTCAACATTATCTAAGGTAAAACACTAGTATTCTGCTGCTTTGTTTCTCACAGCTATATGACGGAGATCCAATGACATATTATATACCCCAGATACACGACAGTCAGGTCTAGCGATAACAGATTGTGTGTCACTTGACATCAAACTTTACGTAATATGGAAACTGGGTAAACTAAAATGATACAGCAACAAGTCAAACTCCTTGCCAGTCATCGATATACTTGGCCAACCTTGAAATCTGGTTAATAAATCCCATCATTTATAGTGTGCGGGTGTAGATCATGTGGATACAGCACGGCAGTGGTTACGTTTTCATAGAAAGATTTCCTAAAACCGCGGCACTTTGAATTAAACATGTGGACACAAACTTCATCTTGAGGCAAAAAACAAAACACTTCTGCATTTGTAGTTTTGTTTTTAGATTAAAGGAAATTGAAAGAGATGAGTAAATACAAGAAAGTGTGAATCTTACATAGTGGGGAATTTCTGGGGGAAAGCCTATGTAACACACTTAGCACTAAAAGGAAGCGATTATTTCTTTACTGTTCCAGAGGTTATTCACAACCATGAGATTTGTGCACAATCAAGAAACAAATTTAAATAAATAAATACACATTTTAATACAAAGTGTAGAACATTGATATGGGGAGAGTGGAGGAGAATCCCAGTTCTTGCTAAATTTTAGCCACGAATTCACAATTTCCGATTTATAACAAAGTCTAAAAGGATTTAAAAAAAAACAAAAAAAACAACATACAAACTACAACAACTCGTCTTAGCCCTGTGGCATTTAAAACGTTGTCATATCTTGTCATCCTGGAAAGGAGGGTAGATTTATTATTTAAATTATGCACAACAAGGGTCAATGCAAATCCTTTTAAATCATGATAGATCTAGATCACTCATGACGGACGTAATCCCTGTGCCAACTCTAGATAACCTGCGGCCCGAGGTAGCTCCCCAGTTTTTGCAGAACTACTAGGGTTAAACCACCATAAAGCATCGAGGAAGTTCCTCAACCACCTTTGACCCATATTGCTGTATAGGCCAAGAGTTGAGAGCTCCCTAAGTTGAAAAATTGGTCTCCACGCTGGTTGCTTGGAAAGTGTACATGACTTTCTCCATCCCCACGGCAACTGCTTACAATAACGTTCTTACTGTAGCATGGTGAACTGCTACAATTCCAGTTCAGTCAGATTCCGATATCACATTTGAGAAGATTTAGCATATAATCTAAACTCTAGACCTTCCATGAGCCTTGATTCAGTGATTAGCAGCTGTAAGGCCAGATAAGAGTGATACGAGGTTCTGTTCAGCAGCGGGTGGGGCGGGTAGTGGTTAGCAATACCTTCATTGGTTTGGTTGCAGTTTATTCTTTAAACGTTCTGTAATCAGACTGTCATCCAAACTGTCTATCACTTCTCTAGGTTGTTGCTAAAAGGGACACTATAGGCACCCAGACCACTTCATCTATTTGAAATGGTGTGAGTGCAGTGCTCATGTTCCCCTTAACTCTGCAATGTGAAAGACTGCAGTTTTAGACAAACTCTAATGTTAGCCCCTTCAGGACGGAGTCAATAGTACACGTTCTGATCAAAACAAAATGTAAACAAAACCTGGAATTTGCGCTATATGTCTGTTCAACTGAAATTCACCTCTTTCATGTTATATGTACCGACACTTATTATATATCAATTTGTTCATGAGAAACAGGGCTTTCATTTCCTATTAAATATTTATATATGAAACATAATTTACTATGAATAAAATAAAAAAAAAACTGTGAGAAATTTTTAAAAAAAATTTTAAAAAAATTTGTAGTTCCACCTCGCATTTTAGCTGTAAATGTCATAATACTGTTAGCTTTTACTGAAATTCACCTCTTTCATGTTATATGTACCGACACTTATTATATATCAATTTGTTCATGAGAAACAGGGCTTTCATTTCCTATTAAATATTTATATATGAAACATAATTTACTATGAATAAAATAAAAAAACTGTGAGAAATTTTTTTAAATTTTTTTTTAAAAATTTGTAGTTCCACCTCGCATTTTAGCTGTAAATGTCATAATACTGTTAGCTTTTACTGCCAAAAAAAATAATTATGTCACATAATTATGTTAAAATATTACTTAAATATACATATATATAAAATTTAATTTTTTTAAATATTTTATTTATTCTAATTATACGTGTGTGTATATATATATATATATATATATATATATATATATATATATATATATATATATATATATATACACACACACATACACATATACATACACACACACACACACATTACGTATGACGTTACACATACATATATATATATATATATTTATTTATTTATTACACACACACACACACACACACACACACATTTAATTTATTTTAAAACATGTTTTATTTTTTACATTTCCCACCAGCAGGGGGACTGTCTGACATTTCAGACAGTACCCCTGCTGACAGATCCACAGCCAGCTATAGTGGGCCATGTGATCGCTCTCCCCTGGGGGCCTCATTTGCCGGGGAGGGCTGCCTCCAGAAGAGGATCGCTGCAGAGGTAAGTACCTCCGAGCTCCTGGGGCTGCAAGCTGTTACGGCGTTCTATGCCGCCGCAACGACTTTAAAGCCCATTTAATGCGGGACAGCATAGAACGCCGTGACGGCGTTAAGGGGTTAACATTGCATTACTAATACTGCCTCTAGTGGCTGTCTACCAGATAGCCACTAGAGGAACTCCCTGGAGTTTCACTTTATGAGATGACACTGGACATCCTCACACTCTGCATGAGGACATCCAATGTCAAGGAAAACCCGATGGAAAGCATTGAGGCAATGCTTGCCTATGGAGAAGGTCTAACGTTCACACAGAAGTTGCTGCACATGCATATTATGTGTCCCCCCCCATTGTTTAATGTAAGAAATGGTGGAACACAACCCATCACCAAGGGACATCAGCGGAATTGGGTTGTAAGTGAAAAAAGTGTAATTTAACCCATTACAATGCTGGTGGGGGGGCGCAGGAGAACATGTCAGTGTTAGGAATACATCTTTGCATTCCGAACACTAAAGTGTCCCTTTAAAAGGACAACAGCCACATCATCTTTATTTTCTAAAATAATCCTTTCAGGTTTTGGAAGGAAATATACTAAAAGGTAGGGATGAGTTTTCTTCATTGTTTAACATACTTCATTTCACCAACAATCTATGACAGAATTCTTCAGCCATATACATGCACCTTGGGTCAGACAGTTATATGGTCGATGATGTCACTGCACGGACACGGAGTGAAGCAGGGAAGACCATAGAGACTAACTATCTGGTTTTACACACTGTCTGACCCAAGGTGTATGGGCTGAAAGATCCTGTCTGGTACTAAGGATTTTTCAGTTTTATTTTTTTCAACATATACTGAATTGAACAAAGAATAAATTTCCTTTTGAAACTTGATGAAAGGATTATTACATTAAAAAATAATATTAATAATAGCGTTGAGGGGACAGTTGTACTTTAAGTCATTAATAAATGCTATGATGGGGATCTGAAAACAGATTTTGGCCTTTATTCAATACGAAGAGAGCTTATGGAATGCATAACTGAGGCCAAAAGAGAAGAATTGAAAAATGTTCAACTCAACGAAATAAAGACATTCTTTCCAGTTAAGCAATTTGCACCTAAACTTGGACATTCCTTAGGCAATTCAGCAAAAGTTACAATTTAGCACATTAACCCCTTCAACGAAGGAATGTCTTGTAATGGAGTATATATATACATACAAAAGCTTCTTTTTTTTTTTTAAATAAACTGAACACATTTATTAAACCCAGGCCCGCTGAAAGGGAGAGAGGTTTCGTGGCATCCGTTCAATATAAAATAGGAAAAAAATGTAATGTAAAATTAATATCATGGACAGAGTACAAAACGCATAAGAGATTGGGGCTCAATATATTGCATGTTGGGTTTTCAATGTAAAGGAGGGGGGGGAAAAGGCAGGATTGTTGGGGTGTCAGGGTCATATTAGGATACCAGCCTGCTTTACGTCAATTTGTGTTGGGGTATATGGCCAGAGGGCTCATTGTATGAGGGGTCCATGAGAAATACCCATGGTATCAGGTTATACAACAGATGTTAGGGGAACTCCAACCGTTGGCAATTTTCTCATTTCTAGGTGAATAGACACTTTATTGGGATACACAACCTGATTATCAGGAAGTCGAGACACATGGCCAGGGTTTCAGGGCACTGATACAAATCTCATGTGGCATTGGCCAGTGTCTTATAGACTCACCTGGCATTGCTTAGAATCTCAGCTTCATGAGCTTTATGGGTGCATGCCAGAATCCTATATCATTGGGTTGTGTGTCAGGGTAACAGGACAAATATTCGGGGCATCAGACTACGTTTACCAGATCCTGGTGTGTCGAAGTGTCACAAGGTCATGCTCTATAGCTCCGCTTGCACTGGATAATGTCTGACACTACTACAAGAATTGAATTCTCTTTATAAATACCTTGCAGACTAATTATCTCCTGAAATTCATATAATCCCAGAACATCTTCAAATCATAGCACGCCAGAACCCCTTTACCTGTATACAATGTATATGATGAACTGTTTAAGGGTTAATACTCTCCAGGGCCTCTTGGGAGTTAGTTTAGAAAGTTCATGAGTAATGCACACAGACATGTATTAAACCTCACAAACACTTACCACTACAAGCCGTGGGGTCCAAATAAAAACAAAGCTAAGAGGACACCAGCAGTTTATTTCAGAATATTTAGCAATATTAGTGATCAGCTCCTGCTACCCTTATCTCAGCATCAGATTAAGTAGTGATGGTTGAATTTAGCACTCTAAATGTGAGCTACATTCATCCAAACGCCCAGCCAGCAGATTGTTCAATGAACATTTAGGAAAGTCAACTCCTACTACTCTGAGCTCACCATCAGAATAACAAGTGGGGGCCCCAGGAGTCTGCAAATGCTTAGGATTAGTTCAGCATCATGGGACTATAATCCACACACATTTAGGGTGCCAAGTTTAGCCATCACTGGATTAGATTTTTTAATATATTTTACTTTATAAAATGTCCATTGCACAGTAACCAATTCCAGTGTCTGAGATTCCAAGCTGGCCTCCCATAGACTCCCAGCAATAGCTAGTACTGTAACCCCTCCTGATGCAGTCCCCTTGCTCTGTCTGCATGCCAGGATTATTTTACAGTAATTAAAGGACTCACCTTGTTAGAAGAAGCTGAGTGTGTCAGACTGGCAGCACCATATGAATCCTGAGACAATGTCTGCTTGTGAAGCTGATCTGGGGTTTAAAGCCAGAGAACCCTCCCAGCTTTAAGCATGGGACACTCACAGCAATGCTGTGTGAAGTTTGCATTAAACAAACTGCCTTTTTTCCTGCCAGTGATGTCACATCCTGATTTTGTCTCCAGCTGTTCTTGTGATAACTTGTTCAGCTCCCATGCACTGCAGGCTGATAGGTCTCTATCTGGCCAGCCATGTGCACTGCCAGCAGTTCCCATTACCCTCTGCTCTGGGCTTAACCCTGTGTGTGCCAGTGGGAATGAATAATGTATCTTTATGGTAACATTGTTCATTTCAGTTACTGTGTGGCTTATTGTTTACAAAGTAGCAAGTTGTTAGCTGAGTGCAGTTCAGGAATGCAAAACATGGATACAAATTCTAAGAGGATAAAAGCTTTTCCAAACAATGTGCATTGTAGCATTACAGAGGGAGGGGCATCACATGAGATATTGTCTTGACAGAACTTTTGTTTATGAGATGCTTCCTTTTCTTTTAAATTAATTTTACATTAAAGGGACACTACAGTCACCAGAACAACTACAGCTTATTGCATTTGTTCTGGTGAGTAGAATCATTCCCTTCAGGCTTTTTGCTGTAAACACTGTCTTTTCAGAGAAAATGCAGTGTTTACATTACAGCCTAGTGATAACTCCACTGGTCGTTCCCCAGATGGCTGCTAGAGGTGCTTTCTTGGGCAGTGCTGCACAGTGTGACTGACATTCAGTGTATCCTCCCTCTGCATGCAGACACTGAACTGTTCCTCATAGAGATTCATTGATTCAATTAATCTCTATGAGGAGATGCTGATTGGCCAGGGCTGTGTTTGAATTGTGCTGGCTCTGCCCCTGATCTGCCTCCTTGTCAGTCTCAGCCAATCCTATGGGGAAGCATTGTGATTGGCTCAGATCACCACTTCTGATGATGTTAGCCAAACAGACAGAGCAGGCTCTGGACTTGATAATAAGATTTTACTATATTTAGGGAGGCAAGTGGAGGCCAAGAGTGGGGTAGGTGGTTTTAGCACTATAGGGTCAGGAATACATGTTTGTGTTCCTGACTCTATAGTGTTCTTTTGAAGTAAAACTTGTCCCTGTCTTCAGTCTTCTCTTCTCACAGGGTTATTCACCAACGTGAGAATTCAAAGTGAATTTCAACTTTAAGGCCAAAGTAGCTGCACTGGAACGATAGCTGACTTAGAGAATGTTTTCCCGTTCGGCCATTTTTACCTTGAATTTAAAATTCACTTGGAATTCTTACTTTAGTAAATAACCCTGATAATGCTTCAAATAATGATCTAGGGAGTTAAGATGGAGGCGTCCAGTTGCCGGATAAAGTTGTGGACTTCTTCATTAACTTTTATTTTTCAAGACTTTACCAATACACATTTGTGAAACATTGGGAATAAATAAATATAATGTTACAAATCCTGCAGAGTGGCAATTCCCCTTTAAAGATACAGAGGGTTAATGCAATTTTAATGTATTATAAGATAAAATAGAAATAAAGTAATATATATATATATCCTCTATTTTTAATGTTCCTCATTTTGAAATACTTCCTCAATCTCCGATTCTCAAATAGTGAATTTCTACAGACATGACGTGGCTGAAATCTCTCAGTCTATCCTCGCCTTAAAGGGACAATCCAGACCCCTAAAGCAGTTTAAGGGTGGTTCTCTTTTTTATTTTACAAAATGTGCAGATTTCAATAAAAATTGGCATTTGTATAAATTAACCTTATTCCCCCCCGCCACCTCCCTCTGGCTGTCAACCAGACAACAGGTCCTGTTACTTCCTGGTTTGTTTAGCTCAGTGGAGATAAAATCTAAAGGCAACAATTACCCAGAGCACATGCCTTGTAAAGACTTGGGAAGACTGTGATTGGACAGCCACAGAAAGTATGGGCGGGGTGAGAGTGGGCGGTCTTTCACACACAAGAGATCTGCAGGTTTTACAAACAGTTTTTTTATATAGTCCCAATGAAAAATATGCATTATTAAATTAATGTATGTTTTATTGTGGTTATAGCTACTAAACAGCACATTTATTTTGTTTGGATTTGGTAAGTGGAGTGTCACATAATTCCCACTCTCCTGTGCAATGTACAATGATGGAAAGTGTATACAAACCCAGAGTTGCTTGCAGGGTTTTGATGTCTGGGAAAAAAAAAAAATCTGTTTATACAAATTATGTGGGCTGTTGGTCAGACCCGTTTGTAGTTGTCACAGCGTTTGTCAAAAGTTTTCATTTTTAAACAAGCATGCATGCAACTTGTATGTGTCCATTTAAATTCCCTTTTACAGGTATCCTTTCAAAATTCACATCACCTACATTCACTATTGCAGCAGGATTCTTAAAAGGTTGACTTTGTGAAAAGGGTTGAGAGGTTCCATTAAACAATGAAATGTGATGAAGTAAAAAAACAAATTGCAAAATTTAGACCACTATTCCACTATTATTGGAGCTACATTGCCAAATTGAAGATTTGAACAACAGAGGACATCAGAATAATATCAGGGTTCTAGGCCATCCCTAGACTGAATCTGAAGACCCCCTCCATCCCACCGCCTTTTACCTTCTACTAGTTTCTGATTTGCTGATTCCTATCAACAGTGAGATGACCCCCTCTATAGGAGGCCCTTTTGCAATTCACATAAGAGAGATTTGTATTGTTTATTTTATTTGACCTTTACAAAGTTTTCAAAAAACGGGACAATGACCTTATTCATCTTGGTTTGAATTACAATCAGCCCAGCCTACCCTAGAGTGACCTCACTTCAAAAAGCTTTTGTTTTTTTGACTATCTGCTCCTAGTGTAGTGTAGGTCTTGTCAAATCTTTTGTGCATCCCTTTTCTCCATAGTCTTTTAGTGTTTAGCACTATCAACCAAGAAATGGAAACATCAACCTTAGAGGCCAAAGACCTGTATCTGCATAGGGGTCGAGGAAAGGATAAAGTCTTGAGAACTTTACCTAGGCAGGCAATCTCTCACGGTTAAGGCCATTCTGTTTCATTAACATCTTTATTAGCTTAATAAATAGAAAATATAGGTGTCTTTTGTTGACGATTCCTGGAGTATTAGTCAGATTCTTATTGATCCCACATTCCCTCTAGCATTCTCAGTGTGTTTCTTAGCAAAGCAGTTAAGGTGCCTTAATTCCTACTGCCTGAATACTCTTTAGACTTGTCCTTTTTTCTAGAGGCTCGACCCACACTTTGTTTTGGGCACTCTTTTGATAATAATAATATTCAATGATGAAATTAAATGATTCATAAGAGGTGGAGTAGGAGGAATTCATCACAATATAAATTTGAACTAAAAATAAGAAAAAAATGTGAAAGACCAAGATACAGTATAAAACAATTCCACTAAGCAAAACAGATAGAATTAAACGTTATTTATAAAGCAATTAGCAGATAGTTTAAACTCTAAATAGCAAGAAAATAGAAGAATTCACTTTAATAAATGTGTGCCCTTAAAAGCACCATAAGAAAGGCCGTAAAACAATAGGTGCCAATAAGGATTGTTGCACATGCACAGCTGAAACCAAAAAACAGACAGCCGCCATTTTAAGATATCCTCAGGGATCTGCCAGAACAGAATTCCAAAGAGACTAAAACAACGTCTGGAGACACTAACCATCAATTTTTGCAAAGACAAGTTGGCTTCTGTGCTGGTGGCTTAAGAAGGAGTAGCTAATGGGTTCTTGCAAGCACCATAATTACTTAAAAACCTCTAAAGGACACAGCTTCAGAAGCAAAAGGCCAGCATGGCAGAACATTTCCGTCATGTGCCCTTAAGAGGTTAAGTGTTTTGAACTTGCAAGATGCATAGGCATCTATAATACATTATGCAAGATGATGCATGGAGACAGAAGGCTGATGGGAAAAGGCAGCAGGAACTTATTTTCTCCAAACATTGACGATTACATGAGAAGAAGTAGTGCCATTGATGCCATTAGAACTTTGATAACAATTCAGACAGAGCCACTTCTAGCTCTGCAGCTCATAACAACAGAGCCCACGCTGGGAAAAGGTTGAATCGTGATAAATAAACAGTAAGAAACTAGTAACTAATGAACCTTTTACCTCCTTACTGCCCTCTCTAAATCAACTTTTTATCGACATACTGCTACAGCATGCAGATCTTTTACCCAGAACAATGTATTCTGAGTAGTCTGTATGTGAGAACACCCTCTGGAAAGACAGGCTCGATGGCTCTGGGTGATTTTTGAAAAACCAGTGACGGGTAAAAAAAAAAAAAAGCTTAAAAATTGTATTAACTGCCTGTCATCTGGAGGACAGGAAAAAACTACACACACCTCGGAGAATGCTACTAATTTATAGATTCTTTGATTACAGGATCAGTTTGGGCACAGTTAAAAATTAATCGTAATAAAGTAGTGAAGTTGTTATGGTATCAAGAAGTCCCTGGCACCATCTCACATTTAGGGTTTAAACTATTCACTGATGGTTTAACCCCAAAGTTTATGTTTCATCGCTGGATCGCTCTGTCCATCTGTCCTCCTGCTTTCAAGATATCCTAGATAATGGAAGGTTTGGACAGGGATGCCGCTGATTGTTTTAAAGCAGTCAGCTGATGCGCTAAGCCAATCAGTAGCTACCCACTTCATAAGAAAAGGAATGCAACTTTTTTATGAGTGGAAAGCTACTAATTGGCTTAGAGTGTCAACTGACTGTTCTAAGCCATTCAGAGATGCTCCTCCCCGATACAGCCTTTCCATTATCTATGATTCCAGAAAGAGGTAAGGCAGAGCGATCAGGTATGGGAGCACAGACTTTGGGGTTAAACCATTTGTGAATGGTTTACCCCTTAAAGGTGAAACAGTACCAGGGACCTCCTGGCACCATAACAACTTGATTTTAAGTTGTTACGGTTCCCAGACTGGTCCTTTAAGTAATTTATTAGCTACTGATTATTTTCCTGTTGTGTCAGCTGAGAAGAAGGAGTGATAATTAATCATTGATAACGCTGCCATGGTTACCAGGAACCCACATTACTTGTAAAGTGATGGATAAATTGAGGGAACACTGGTATCGGCTGAATTTATTTTGTGAGCAGACATCAAGAAATGTAATCATGGAAATATTAATTGCTTAATTCCTTATGTGCATTAATTGACCTAAACTGTAATATGCAGATACATGGTAAATGCTTCCAAGCGATTTTTATATTATTGAAATGCATAGATGGGG